TGAAGCCAGATCCTCCAGTTTGTGCCTGGTGCCGGGCGCTTCATGGAGACAAGGACCGACGCCGGTTCACAGCAAGAGAGTGAGTGAGTGTGCGTGTGTGTGTGTGTGTGTTCCGAAGTGTGTGCGTCCTTTTCTCCCATGGCAGCCCCTGGCTCGAGCCCCCCGATTGGCATCCCCTGCATCCCCGGCCCTCGCCCGAACCGCGATGGTGCGCCGGCCCGGCACCTGGGCCGTGGCTCTGGCCTCTGTCTGGTTGCTATGGGAGGCCTCCAAAGCGCCGCTCGGAAGCACTTTCCGCGCCCACTTATACGACCCGCGCCTGAGAGCCCAGTTCAGCCCAGGTTTGTGTCCAGCAGCTTCGGTCAAGGACGACGGCTTTCTGCTCGGAGGGCCACCGCTGAGCCCGTGAGCGCTGAGCCCATGCTGTCGAACCAGGCCGGGTCGTCGAACAGAATCGAGAGTCGATACGCCAGGAAGCTAAAACAGAGTGATTTCCATGCAAAATCAAATTCTGCCTCGGCTGTGAGAGGATTTCTTCTGGGGTTCCGGCTACGACCAGTCTGAACTGGAGGAGCTGGTGGAGCATCTTATGGGGCCTTAAACCTAGAACTTCCAGCTTGATCTGATCTGCTTCTAGACTTCACCGACCCCCATCCCTGAATCCACTCGCCTAGCGAAGGAGGCTGCGCTGAAGCTGTCCCAGAGCTCAAGCGATGCCCTCTGGGAGAAGGTGGAATTTGGACCAGACGCTCGGATTGCCAAACTGGTGGTGTCTTCCTTCCACCATAAGTTCCAAGAGAAGCATTTTCTTCGGCAACGGTGCTGAGAGCGAGTGTTAGTTGTCAGGCCATGCCTCTTGATTTCAGAGACCATTGAATCACGGCTTGGCGATGTTGTTCAAGTGGACTGTACTGCAGATTCAGAGTCAGATTCGCCGTCTGATGCCCAGGACACCAGACCTGCTCATCTAACGGCAGATGCAGAGTGGACACCGCTTCCCAAGGATTTTCGGGCTTAAGTAGTGCCGTTCTCTGTCAGCCCGTTGTGCAGCATGTCCGATGCAGGAGCAGCGGTGGATGGACCTGCCACAGTTCGTCGCTGCACAGGCGCAAGCCGGCAGCAGCGAGATGACCTCCAACGCGCTCTTCACGGTTCTCTCGCAGGGATCCGGCTATTTGGAAAAGCCGAAGGTGGATGCAGCGCTCCAGTCCTGGGCCAGTAGTGACAAGACCTTGAACCAGGTCGGGTGGTCTAGTTCTATGTTTTGGGCGAAGGCCCAGATAGCTTTTGGCTATGCCTGGTTATACGGAATGTCCAGCTTCTGCGGATACTTCTTTTTCTTCCGGCCGCCGTTGTTCATCTTCTTCGGGATTGACCTGCTGCCGGGCACCCCACAGTGGTGGGCAAACTGATCAGCGGCGATCTCTCGCTTCGTTCACACCAGTCCGTATCTAATGCAGAATCTCACCGAAGTGAGGGTTCTGAACTGGCCAGACTGCACTTTTTAAGCAATTCTGTGCGGTTCTGGAGCTGTCGAGAAGCTCTTTAATTGTTTGTAGGTTAGGAATGCTTTAGGATCAAAGCCAGACAAGCAGGAAAGCCTCCAAAAAAAGTGTCGGCCCGACCCACGTCGTAGCCTGCAGCAACTGACATGTTTGGTGCTGTGACTGCAGGACCAAGCCGAGCGGAACAAGGCCCTGGCGGCCTTTCGTGCCTCTGGCCGGAAGAGTCAGACGAGTGGGACGGCGTTTTGCATGCCACACAAGCCCAGGTGCGATGACGGAAATGCCGCGAAAGGGCCAAAAAGGCAGATTGGCCAGAAGCGCAGAAATGAATTCTGAGCCTCCGGACTTGCCAGGAGTCCTGGTGGCCACCGATGTGGCCTCGCGCGGGCTGGACATTCCAGGTGTTGCTCTGGTTGTTATCTGCCCGCATTGGGCAGTACGTCATAAGACATTTTTCGCATGCTTCAAGTAGGATGTGAACTATCAGGTGATCTTTGACTATGCTGAGTCCAGCCACTCGCCGCAGGACCTCCTGTGCGATGTGTCTCCGACCGACCGTGCGGCTTCTTGTTGTGACTGGGTGCAGGAAGCAGCAGAGTCCTACATCCACCGAATCGGCCGGACGGGCCGTGCTGGCAAGGAAACGAATCGAAGAAGGGCGTTCAAAAGCGCTTTATTAAGATGCGTGCTGTGAGCTGTGGCCAACATCTCGCAGGAAGGAAGGGCGATCACCTTCTTTGATCCTGAGAAGGCCTTGTGGAATAGAGTGGGGAGCGTTCTAAGCATTGCTGAACGGTTCGGACAGTTCGGGGAACACCGTTTTGTCTTTTAGAATGCAAAGCGGGAGAGGAGAATTATCATAACTTGGAAGAGCCGCCGTATATCTTTGCATCTGACATTTTAGCCCGCAAGTATGGCTGATCGTGACAGCAAGCGGCACATCGGGCAGGGACACTGCTTGGAAACGTCAAGCCCGGGTAGTCAAGGAGTCCAGCGTGGGTGTACTGAAGTACAGGGCGGAATGAATCCCTGTACCACCAGATTCTCAAGCCCTTGCGGAGGTGTTTGCAGCATTTGCTCAAGCCCGCAGCCTCGAAACCGTCGATCCTTGTAATCGTCTTGGCCTGGAAGCAGAGAGCACTTCTTCCAAGTTTATTTCCCCAAGAAACCAAATCGCAGCGGGAAGGATGCCGGTGCCTCCCAGCTCATTGGCCTCTTGCAGTCGGCGGATCAGGTCGACTTCGGGATCTGGCTTTCGCTTTGAGGGGCGGGCAGGCAGGCGGTTGAGCTTGGGCAATGGCAGGTAGTGCCTGCGGAACTGCAGCAGCTGGCATTGAAACCGCCGGTCAAGGCTGCGGGTTTTCACATCCTCTTCCAATTCGTTGTCATGCCGTGTTCGCTCAGGGGTAGCGGTGATGATCCAGTCTTCGCATAACGTTGCAAGCTACGGTGTAAATGTGCATATGGGCAGAGGTTAGACCGTTGCACCTCTCTCCGCGAGACAGTCAGCTCTCGGTGTGCCTGCTCCGCTGAGGCGAAGCTTTCCAAACGCGAGAAGAAGGCGGCAAAGAAAGGGAAAGGCTCTGGCCTCAGACCCTTGCAGATGGCGAGACCCCTTGACGCCAAGCTCGAAGTAAGGCCATGGAAAGGGAAAAGGTCTGAAGCAGAAGAAGCACCTCTGTGGCAAGATGCTCAAGACCGCTGTTGAACGAACGTTCCGCTCGCAAATGAGGTTTGAGAAGAAGCAGCGGCGTGGAAAGACAGGAAAACAGCGTCAAGTTCAACTTGCCTGCAGAACCCAGACCCTGCGCACGTTTGAGGCCGAAGCAAGCACCCGGTGTTCGCCTTTAGCTATTGAGGCGGAGCCGCCCCGAAGCAGCCCGGCGCCGCCTCATCTGCTGCGGCCTCAAAACCTCTGCAATCGAACGCTGACTAATTCGGCTTTCGACGGGTTCAATTCTGGTCGTGCATGGCTGGGACATTCATCAACTTAGGTTCGATTGTAAAAGTTCGTCATAGCTAATTTTGTCTGAAGACTCCCGAACAAGCGGTGTTTGCCCAGAACTTTCCGAGGAGTTTTCACTGCCCGGAGCACCGGCGTGGCTTCGCGCCAGAGCTCAGGTTCGCTAGCCGCTTCGGGCGCCCCGCAAAAGTTCCCATTTCGCAAAGTCCGCAGTTCTAGCCAGTCTCTGCTGGACACGCGGCCTGTGCAGTTGCAGCGGTACTTTGCGCTGTCCCGAAGGGTCGACGACACAGAAGCCCGACGCCACAAAAAGAGGAGCCACCGCGCCGACTGTCATCTTCCCCGCAGCTTGGCCGCACAGGCAGATCTTTGCTGTGTACCAGAATCACTCTTTTTCATATGTTTCCTTTCGACACAAAGGCCTTTAGTTCCCATGGGAAGACTGTTCAGTGCCATCCAAAGCGGCTCCCAGGCGCATCCTTGCCTCGGTACTGACCATTCCCTGGCCTGGCTCATAGCTGCCGCAGGCCATGACCCTGACGTGCCTCGAGGGGGTGAACTCGCTCCTTCGAGAGGCAGCCGGATGTGCCAGGATCCCGGCACAGCACATCACAGCATGGTGCACAGCATGGGCAGGGCCTTCGCACCGAGGTGGCGACCACAGCATGGGCTTGGGATCTTACCCCTGAGGCCTGACGAGCACGACGCAGAATCGATTCACGGGCTGTTGCAGCAACATGGTCACAGGGACTACTTTCGGTTCAATGTAGTTGCACATGCCGATGCCTCCTGGACAGGACTGCCGCCCCGAGAATATTGCCCCGCTCATGGGCAGCAACTGGCAGAAGAATCAGCAGACTCTGTGCTCAGAGGCGTGCCTTGATCATGTCATGATCTCCCTGGACCCATGGGGCCGTGGCCCCCCGGGTCCGCGGCGTGACTGCTACACCGATACGCCTGCTATGCACAGGCCCAGGAGGTCAGCGACGAGGCGAAAGAGTCAGACCAGGAGTCCATGGTTGAGGCTCAGTGCAGAGAGCAACGGGAGCATACGTGGGGTGAGCAGGTGACAGAAACCAAACCTGGCAGGTAATCTACGATCCTGACTGGAACGTGTATTACGATCCCGAAACCCACGAATACTACGAGCTGATCGAGGAGGCCAGCAAGCTGTGGTTGTGTTGCAAGCTTTTTTGCCCTTCTTGGATGGACGAAGTGTGTGTAAGACTCCCAAAACCTGAGACTCGGTGATTCCAAGACTTGTCTACTGGTTTCAACCTGCTCTGACTGTGAGAGCATAATCTCAGCAGGAGCTGCAGAAGTGAGCCACGGCGCTTCAAGACTTTCCCTCGAGCTTGGATTCATTGAGCCATTGACCCGGCAGGGGTATTTGCAGTATACGCAATGTACGCATGGCGTCAAAGCTTACGGGTCCGTCGTGGCGCAGTAGAGAGTGGCGCCACCGTCCTGGTGCAGTTAGTGTGTGTCCTGAGATGCGATCGCCGGGGCCAAAATCCTGCCTAATCATGAGCATGTACAAAGACGGAAGTCTGCAGCTGCCTCACTGGCATGTGCTCTCGCTTGCTGGCTCGACCCTGAGAGGTAGGACGAGAGCGCTCTCTCCTTCAAAAGCACAGCAGACTTCCCGCGAATGCACTCGAGACACCTTGAGAAAGCCTGGAGCCCATGACGGCACAGCTAGGAAGTCTGTCACGACAGCTCCAAGGATTGCACCGCCTTGTTTCGTGGTGGCGTAGTACTAGCGCAGCAATGCGTAGTCCTATGGCCTGCCGTCGTTGATGACAGCGCATCTATGACCCAGCAGGTAGCAGTCCGGCGCCCGGAAGACCGGAGGGGGTCATGTCAGGCTGCCCTTGCGGCAGTCGCAAGTGCGTTTTCTCTAAAGCTCAGGCCGTTGTCAACGTCCTCATCATCGTGGGGAAGGAGTTGCTGAGTTCTTGCAAGTTCTGCGTGCCATCTCTCGGGACTGTTGCAGGGATCCGCAGAGCTTTTCAAGTTCGATACATTGCAGGACGACATACCCATCTACGAGGCGGACCTCAGCACGGAGGGAATCCGCGAGGATAGTCAGCATAAATCCGGCATGGCTCAGTCGTGGGGGAGTGATGACATGTTTGCCATGCCGGTGGCCTGCGCAGAGTCCGACCTTGCATCATCCATGAAGCCGTAGGCTTTCAGGTCACTCGGCCACCCGGAACTCTTTCGTGGAAGATCGCAGCTTTGAGGGTTGAGCACGGCCGCAGTTCACAAAAATCACATGCATTCGCTGCTTTTCTCGAGTGAAAGGACAGTCCGCACTTGGACCAGTTCGTGGTGCATGCAGCTTTAGATTTGGACAGGACCTTGGATAATTGGCATCTGAGTGAAGTCATGAGTTGGAGACAGGGAACGCTTACACATTGGAGTGTGTGCGGTTGCAAGGTGGATGAGATGGTTTGGAGCACATCTTCCATGTTTCTCCGTGTGGTGGACAAGTTTGGACCCAAGGGCGGATTAAGGGTGCTTCCGCAAGTGTCGCAAATTAATGGAAGGTTTAACGACTTCCACGTCTCAGCCTACTGCACCGCAGGGCACGCTGGGCCCTCAGAGTGGTGGAAGCAATAGAGGGTTTGCATTCGTACTCTAGCACTCGGGTCTCCAAGGTGCGGATGATGTTGCTTCACAAGTGCCCTGCCTAGATGTGCTGCCCATGGTCCTGCATGGTCCTGACCTGGACCTGAGGCACAGAAACGAGGAGGCGATTCGGGCCTTCTTCGCGGAGGTCCACGACCTCTTCATCAAAGCGATGTTGAGCTCCTTGTTCTGATGGACAGCTGATCTGCGGAACCTTGCCACGATGGCAGCGACTTGAGGCATTTTCGACTCAGGGTGGTAGCCCTGTCGCAAGTGTGAGGCCCGTTTCAGACCCCCTCCACTCCGATCGAGTCTCCGACGTTCGATGCCAAGGCAAGCGCCTGAGAGCGCTTCGCGAGGGAGTTTGAAAGGTCGCTCTTCGTCTCTGCCTCGTCGTGCCAGGTGCGTGCCGCCGGCCAGAGGCAGAACAGTACCGAACACACTCACACACCCGAACACCCGGAATCAAATTGGGATTCCTCGACGCAGGCACTTTCGTGCATGACCCAAAGGAGATCTGAGTGATGCGAGCTGGACCGCAGTCTGTTCAACAAGCCTTCTCAACTCTTGCCTCTGACTTTCGGAGACTTTGGTGATTCAGTGCTAGGACTCTAGGGGGCCAGGACGTATCCTGAAGATGAGGTGATCCCTTTGCGTTAGCCTCCGGGCCCGACATGGCGCTGTTGACAGCTCCGCAGGTTTGATCGTGTTCTTAACGGCCGCTAGATTCTGTTTCCCTGGGCATCCGGCTTGCAGCCAGCTGCAGAAGATCGCATGACATGCAAGGTGGACTTTAACGCAGGCCCCCCACAATAAACTGCATGGAGCTTTCTTTCGACCCAGCCCAGCCCGACCTAGCCCGACCCACATGTAGCAGCCAGCACAGGAGGTTTTGAGCTTCGATGTTTAGGGAAGAGTCTAGTCTAGCTAGGGCAGCGCTCACTCCGCTGCTTCGATGCCGGGGACACATGGGCCAGCCCTGTCCGGTTTGTGCATCGCAGTCTGGCAGTGCCGAAGTCGAACTCCTGCGCTTTGCCAGGGCCGGATGTGGTTGCGTGCATGAGGAGGACTTGACAGGCAAGCTGTCGAATCTTTCACTGCCCATTCCACGCGACATGGCATGAGGCCAGCAGCAGCTGCTCCTCCCGTGGATTGATGCCTGCCCCCCGGCCTTGGACTGTGCAGAAGGAGAATAAGCTTTTGTTTGGTTTCAGATCCTGACCAGGTCGCTGGTGTTCAGGGCCTCAACGAAGAGGTGCACCCTGCCCGGGCCCGGCCACAAAGGCCCTTAAGGCTCCAACTACCTGCGGCCATTGCTGCAAGTGAAGGATTGTGCTCTTGACTATCGCCCAAATTGAAGCCGGGAAGCAGCCATCACTGCGAGCATTGCGACGTCGACGTGGCCCCGAAAGACCAGCATGCACAGCCTTCTGGTTTTAGAGCAGGTGATGGCTTCAGCTGTAGAGAGGTCACTTTCAGCCGATGTCGAACCGTCCTTTGAGCTAGACCCCCTAGTAGTCAGCAAAGTCGTCCGGCCAGGAAGTGCTAAGCTTCAGCCCAGGCACTTGTTTGAACTTCATGTACGCTCAGGGCTACCGGCTCCAGGAAACTGAAGATATTCATATGACTGTGGAGAGGGTAACTCCCATCCAGCCCAGCACGTTGACGGCCCACCCCCAAGACACCTACACCCTATAGTCCCTATGGCCTGACAGCACCGACGACCTCACATCGACCTCCAGCCATAGTCTGACAGCAGGCAGCGGACAGTCGGTGCCAACCGTTGGCTTCCTGGCGTTAGTGACAGCGCACCAAGCAAAGCTTTCAGCAAGCACTTAGCAGCAAAGCAGCTTGAGCATGGACTCATGCAGCGTCGCCTGCAGCTTCTGCTCGCGTGTCTGGTCATCGCTGAGACCTGCGAGAGGACACGGCTTCGACCAACTGCGGCGACAGTGGTGTGGCACCCCAGTTGGCCCTAAACAGATTCGAATTTCGGAGGCGGTGCCCGCTGGGGCAACACTGGATCCCGGGACACAGCCATTGCAGGCGGGTGCAGCCCGTGCCCTGTTCAGACACGCTCTGAAACCTTTGTGAGAGGTACGACAGGGACCTTGAGACCTACTGCTCCTGCGGGGAGGTGGTCTCAGCTGACGGAAGTGCCGCGGCTATCCGGAAAGGATCAGATCCGTGACGTGATGTTGTCGTGCTCGGCTCCTGAGCGGGACACCAAGGTGCATGCCTGCAATGCCCGCAAGGCCTGAGTTTCAAGACATCAGCCGAAGGACGCAACTTGAGCAATCTCGGACCCTTGATTCTACTTGAACACGCAGAGCCTGCAAGCCGCCACAAACTCGAAAGTTGAATTGCATGCCTGCAGGGCCCTTTGACGCCCATCACGCCTCCCAGCGCTGCAGTGAATCCGGCGTGGCCCCGTGGCCACTGCCGGGCCCGGTGACGCTGGCCGGGCGAAGAGAAGAGATAGAAGAGATGGGACAAGAGTGATGGGTGCGAGGTTGCATCTGAACGGTCTCAACTGGAGTTTCAGTACTTGGACTGGTCGTCTGCCCTGACGTCAAGGGTCGTCTTCCATGCGAGGCATGCGATGCCTTCAGCCTCCAGTTTCTATCCGACGAATCGGGAGAGGCGCGGTGATTTCCACAACATCGGTCACGGAGCGGTGGAGTCAAGCTGACTGCCTTTGGTGGATCGACGGATAATCGTAGAAGTGGCCGGAAGCTTTTGAGGATCACCTGCTCGTCACGAGTACCAGCGGGATCACCAACCTCCTGGGCGGAGGCTGCAAAAGCAAAGTTGCAAGCGTGTGTTGCAGTCCTTTGCTTTTCAAGGCAGGAGCAGCGAAGCTGAATCAAGTACTTGTAGCATCGGAACGAAACAGTCTGCAAAGATTTCAGTGATCCTGAAAACATGTTTTTCCTGCTGCATCGCTTACCCAAGCTCGGCCAAGAAGCCAAACAGCCTCCAGCAAAAGCTCCGGAAGGCAACGAGTCGGAGGGAGGCTACTTCGTGAGGCAGCGGTGCAGTTTTCAGTGTGGTCGCTTCGATGTTTCCCATGCTCGGTTGGGAAGTACTCGTAGCTTACTTGCCAGAGCTGTCTTTTCTATCATCGCGACCATCGCGAAACCTTGGTGAGTTCTGCCCTGATCTCTGTTGTGCTGCGGTGCTCATGTTGACTGCCTGTGCTGGCCTCGTTTCGTGGACTAAACTTGGACAGATGAACTTTTGGGCCTTTCATGGATTCGTGTAAGCATACAAGTAGAAGTTAACGGCAACACAGCGTGGAAGAGGCAACTTGTTCAACTCCTCGATGTTTGTGTTAGATGAACTAACGGAAGACCCACATTGCGACCCGAACAGGACCAACCGTGTCGTTGCAGCCAACCGCGCGTTTCTGAATGTAGCTACGTCAGTAGCCATAATATCGAAGCAAGGATCTACTCGCCTAGGAGGTCAAGCGGTCAAGCACTGGTTCAGGTTCTATTTTCTGCCGAGCGGCGCAAGGGACGCCGGAGAAGCCAATCGCGAAGTCGCGAAGAACGTGACCTTTTCCCCAGGCGGGCTGGAATTGCTCGGAGCATGGCCCAGTTGAGCAAAACCCCGTGAGCTTGCAGGAACAGGGATGATGACAATTACTTCGTCGAATGACGAGTATGCGGTGACCTTGAATGCCACACCGCATGGAGAGTACATCAAAATTGAAGTGCAAGCGTCTCGAGGCTGGGATGGGACTGCTATTGAGGTCTTTGGAAGCCTAGCGGGCAAACACATTCCGTGTGTACGAGCAGCAGAGGTTTGGTGTCGCAAATACCGTCGGGATAGAATACATGGCCTGGCTTTGACCTGTAATCGGGCAGCAGGCAGGCAGGTCCTCCACAACATTCGCATGTGTACCGTGTGGCTTTGGCAGGCTTTGTGCCGAACCCGTGGGAGCCTGGGCAGACGGACTTTGAACTGGAGCTGGTGGTTGATGTTGGGCTTGCTGCCTGGCTGCACGCAGGGAGACAGACAGCAAACAAGAGGGAGCGGGACACACAGAGGGCTTACTTAGATTTTTCTGTGTGAGTCGGGAAGCACCGTCGAGTGTAATGCCACTCCCGTAGCAATCGGCAAGGGCGAAGGATTCGGGTACGCGAATGAGCGCAGGCTGTTAGCGGCGAAGATTGTTGATGGTGGTCTAACGGAGAAGTTTATTGAAGAAGAGCTCGGCTACACATGGGCAAAGTTGCACGCCAGCCTAGACATGGGCAGCTACTGTAAGGGAAGTCGGACATGTACTGAAGAACAGGACGGCGTCGAGGCGTTGTGGGCTGATGCAGGGCAGGCGTGCGAGAAGTCCAACTAGCATCGTCGCGCACCTTTGCAATCTGCAGCTGCTAGGCCGCTATACCGGCATGCCTTGGCCCGGCCGGTGCTGTGGGACCCGGCGAAGTCGGTGACTGTAAGTTCTAATCGGCATTGTTTGTAGAGCGTAGAGCCGGCAGCACCTTGCAGGATTGCTGCCACTGGATTTCCTGGTGGACTGCAGGGCCACCAGAACTGAGCTCCGTGCTCGCTGGACCGGCGGATTGCTTGGTGCAGGCGGACAGATACGATAGTAACAGGTTCATTGCCGCATGACGCTTGTGTGCTACACTGACTTGCTCTGAAATGGCCTTGTGTTGCCAACAGTTGTGCATGAGGCGCTTTGCTTGCTGGCAGCACTGCTTTTGCAAGTTGCAAGGCTCTTGCGGGGCCGTAGCTTTGGCTGCCGCTGGGAGCGTGGAGCACTTCTCCCGTGCGCTGGCTGCTGTGCAAGGTGTCAAAGTCGAGCCATTAAGTTTCACGCAGTGGTCGTGTTATGCAAGAAGCCTTGAGAGCGGTACGGAGGAGTTTCAGATATCGCGTGCTTTCTGCAGCGTATTCATCTCTATACCACTCTCCTTTCTCTTAGACCTTGAACTCTAAAGCTGTGGAAGGAGGTGAAGCTGGCTCGCTGCCTGGTCCAAGGCTGCATTCACCGGTCACCGGTGCAGCATGTTCGTGTGTTAGGGCGGGGAGGCCGCTGTTTTCGTGCTGCGCTGTCCTGACATAGAGTTCTTGGAGGCCATCGGGCGGTGGCCTCTGGTTGGCACCGACATCCTTACCACAGGCGAGATGTAGACGAAGATTCTGAATACGGTATTACCACAGTGCAGTCGATCATGATGCCGGTGACGTTGACAGCGGTGGCGATGATATCGAGAACGGTTTTGATGACGCTGACGATCACAATGCTTAGTATGATTCTGGTGATGGAATGAGGATGCAGATGCTGAGGGCGTTGGTGTAGTGACGGTGATGATGATGCCGCAGCTGATGATGATGACGATCATAATAATGACTGGCACGTCTAATTATTCCTATCATTACGCATTATTACTTGTATTTAAATTATGTAAGCATTATTCTTGTTACTATGACTATTGTCAATAATGTTGACAAAGCTATTGCTAGTGTTCTTGTCGCTGTTAGTGTTGTTAGCGTTACTACCATTGTGATCATGATTATGACTGTTTCTTGTTGTGGTGATGACGCAGATCATGATGCTTTTGGCGGTGTTGTTGATGGTGCTGTTGATGGTGGTGGTGAGGACGGTGATGATGGTGGTCAAAGTAATGTTGGTGATGATGGTGATGATGATGGTGATGTTGTTGTTGTTGATGATGCTGATGTTGATCGCAGTGTTGTCGCGAAACCTCCACAGAACCGGGTTATGAATTTGTACTGCCAGAGTCTTGCCACTCAAGTCGCCCACTTCAAAACATCGGAAGCTGGAGCAGCTTACATATGTCAATCAGCAGTGAGAGAGAACTACATTTTGACTTTCTCATATTCCGCTGTTGTGAAATGACCCCGTGCCTCATCGATTAGTCGTTGCACGTTCTCCCTGTAGCAGTAGTTGGTTTGTGCGCGGAGGTCGATGACAAGAAAATGAAGCGATAAAATTATCAACTGACATCGGTGGTTGCTCATTGAAAACTGCCACTGTGTTCAGTGACAGCGTGTTCTTGTAGTTGCTAGAGACGGGATCCAGCGTCACTTTTTTGGACGATGTAATGCCAGTTGTCCTGGAGCTTCCTTCAGCATACGTCAATGTGCGATCGTTTGCCCGAGAGCTCTGGGGCTCCTAGGGCCAAAGAATTTGGGTGCGGTGGTGGAGTATTACAACAATAACAAAACGATAGTGAACGCCATAACTATAGGCGAAAGCAGCAGGCGTGGGTCGAGGTCCTTTTTTGGTTTCCCGCACGATCAGTCTGCAGTAGGCTGCGCATGCAGTAGGTCGCCAAAGGTGTACGAACATCAAGACTACTTGTAGTATCTTGTAGCTTTTCAACACTTGGAAACTTGACGCAGACATTTGTGGATTTTGCGAAAGGAGGACTTCGCTGCGCTGCACGGGGCGCTCGCGAAGGCCAGGGCCCGGGGCCTCCGGCTCGCGGCTCCGGCGGCCGCCGAGGCGGCGCAGGCACAGCAGCTTCCGTCCTTTAGCCCACCCAAAGTGCTTCTCAAGCCCCTTCGGCCTTCAGCGTCCGCGCAACCGAAGTCAATCTGCGCCGTGACAGGTCCAGCCCTTCGAGTTGCAAGTGGAGGTGCGGATCCCAGCATGGACGGTACAGTAGAGTGCCTCTCCATAGGCGGATCGGGAGTTCGCGGCTGCAGGAGCTCGTCAGGTTTCGGATATTTAGTTCACTTTGCGACTTGAGAAGGACGGGAATAGCAGGATAGTCTCTGCTGAAGCCGGATTCTTCCTTCCTGCACTTGTGTTTTGGTTCATGTCGGGTGCCTTTGAACTGAGTCCTGGCGCTGGCAGGTCTCCGCACAGCTCGCCTGTCCGCAGCCTGGGAGCTTGCTCTTTGAGGCCAGGCGCAAACGGTTTGTCGGTGGATGAATGGCCAGATGAGTAGCACATAATTCAGGCTACATACAGTCAGTACACTTGTGATCATGCATTGAAATAGGCTCATTCTTCAGGCAGCCTTGGCTTCGGGAAGCTTCGAAGCTTTGGGTGCCGGAACGCTGGCAGCACCACTGGGAAGAGACTCTGAGGAGGCCGCATCTATTCTTGGCTCAGATCAGATGATCAGCCCCCTGAGGAAGAGCAAACAGAAGCGTACTCAGAGTGTCAGCGAGACAGATACATGAGAGCGATGCCGGGTCGTTCAACACAGGGCTTTCGTAAATCCTGACAGGCACAAACAAACACTCCAATCTCGGTGTCGAGTTGTTCGAATCAGCCTTGGGCCTAATCTGGAAGTATTCTAGCCGATTTACACCTGTGAGAGCAAGCAGTCACAGCCTTATTCCAATCAGCACTCAAGGCCAAGAGAATCCCACAGACTTCTTGTGGACAGTGCAGGCACTTGTGATACCGGACGCAGCGACAGCAGGCACGTTCCGAACTTGTGGAAATGCCTGTCAGGCTACTGTATCAGATCATCACGTGATGTGCAGGAGGCACTTCCAGGAACAAGCGGTTTTTGCTGCTTCCGAAGAGGTCTGTTCTCTAGCCTCGGCGCTACGGGGAGCATCGACGGCTTCACGGAGCTCAGGCCCATCATGCTCCGATCGGCATCATCGGTTGGTAAAGGTTTTGAGGGTGAAGGTAGACATTTGAGGCAGGAAGATCAGTGTGTCATCCCCAACCTGCAGGTCAATTCTTTTTTGTTGTTGTGATTTAAGTTTCAGGAAGATGAATGCTGGATCGTTCAGTGCCAGGCTTCAGCCCTTCTTGTCAAGCACATTTGCAGCAAACTTTTCCGCAATCTGAAGTGATGGCTCAAACTGTGAAATATATGGTGGTGTCAGCCGCCGAAGATGCCAGACATGGCGAGCTGCGAGATCGAGGTCCTTTCGATTAGAGCCCTGGCCAGGTCTCGGCAATGCTTTTTCCGGTTGATCCGTGCCCCATGCTTTGCTCCTTTTTGTCTGGGACGAGCTCATAGATGGACTCCAACAATCTTTGCAGTAGATGCATTCAGGCAACACATCTTTCAAGAACGAGCGGAGGGGGTAGCGGGTGCTCCGAAGCCGCTCCGTCAATGACTCAAGCCTTGCCCGGAGCACCCAAAAGATCCTCAGGCGATGGGACAGCTTTGGAGCTGTGCCGCCTGCCAGCGTTGGATGACGCGATGTGGGCCGAGGATCGCGAAGGGCAGGGACTGTCTTGTCATTGCGAGGTCCTTGTCATGGCATTGCTGGCATGCGCGGAGTTAGATTCCATCGTGGAAAGTTTCAATTGGGATCATGTTGTCGATCAATCCCTTCGCTGCTCATCCGAATAGCATCTGGCTGACAGTTTCTCCTCCAGCTTCACTGCAGGTCAAGGCCTACGTAGCGCGCAATCCAGAGACTGTCTCATCGATGCATTGGATTTCGAAGGGCTCGCGATAAGAACCCCGCAAAATGTAGTTAGCCTGAGAGTTGTAGTTCCGGATAGCTTGAAGGGGCCCTCCACCTGGAACGCGTATTAATTGCCCCGTCTCCTCTCTATTTTGCTTACAATACAGGGATAGTTTTTTTTTGATCCCTTTAAAAGTTGAAAGTTTTCGATCCTTGACAAAGTCTTTATCTTTTGAAATAGTCTTTTGTTTGTTCCCGGCAAGGGTTTTTACCGACACGCAGCTCTCTCTTTCACTGTTGCGGACATCACCAGCCTCGCTTCAGCCACGTCGGCACAGTATCCTCTTGGAAGAACTGTCCCGGGGCCACAACGCATGTGCGACCCTTTCGTCTGTATACATCAATGGCAGATGCATGAACGCTATTCCCCTCCCCTCCGCCTCTTTACCTCCCCCTCGCCCTGAGCGCCTGGTCCCCTCGGTTACACTTTTCTAGAGCCTGCTTTGAGCTTTGTGTTCCTTGACAGTCAGTCTTGCAGTGTGCTGACACTCTTCATCGGCATGCCCCGTCCTCGGGATGCATCCTGCAGCTATGCTTTTGCGGTGAATTCATCATCGTTTTCCACCTTCCTCTTGCTTGCAGCGTGCAACATGCAACATGCAGCATGCAGCATTGCATTGCATTGCATTGCATTGCATTGCATTGCATTGCATTGCATCATCATCATAATCGTCTGCCGGAGTCATACGAAAACCTGCTACCTTATGCTTGCAGTGTTGGAGATTACATGTGCTGGCCATTCCAGTCGCGCTGACCAAGGCAAAGGCTATGCAGGGCTTCGCGCGGAACCCCGAGGCAAGGGGAGGCTGCTCTGAAGAGTCGGAAGGCCAAGGGTTCAGGCTTCGGAAAAGCCTTGAGGCCCGACCTGCAATCGACGATTCAGGGGGAAATGGGGCAGTCGAAGTTGCCGCTCCGAGAAGCATCCGAGGGACCAGACCTCCGGTACAGCGACTTGCATTCACCCGTGCGGTCTTGGATGAGACAAGCGCCTCGCACCAGCCTCCCCTTGTTTGGGCGTCACAGCAGCCCCGGCTGCCCGAGCAAGGAAGTTTGATTAAGGGGCATAGTCATAGCGATACTCGATCAGTACGAAACCGCTTTATCTTTATCTCTCCACTTTGGAGGCCATGCAGGGTTGGCTCCAAATGAGAGCGGCTGCATCTTGACTTGAACCATCAGAAAAGCTCGCAGCTAGGGTTGGTCAGGTGAAGCAGAGCACGTCAGAGGACAGTCTTGAACAGCATCCACGAGGAGGGAAGCAAGTTCAACATACAGTGACCGCTCCAGAGACTCCAGGTGGTGCCCATGTAGCGATAAAGGAGGGGCCTTCTGGTAGCGACGAGGCTACATCGCGTCAGATTGATTTCAATGTACCTTCACCACGAGTCGAGGATGTTCTAAGGGTGCGACACTTGTTTGAACAAGCGACATGTGCAGACTCAGGCAGAACATTACCAGATCACGTTGGATCGTGCCTCGTTGCAAGAAGGATGAGATGTAGTGTCGGGCCTGCTTTCGGTTTTCAGGTTGATTAGGCGAAGTGTGGCCCAGAGCCTCTCTCCTTGTGGGAGCAGCTTCTTGAAGACCACATTGAGTTTCAGTGTGGTACAAGTACTGTTAAAGTCCGGGTACCTCCTTTCGCACTGGCTCAGGCGACATTGAGTTACACAACTTGATCGAAGCCCTTGAGGCTGACGAGGCTGTAACTGGCTTGGGATGGTACTACACACGTGCGCTTGTGAGAGTGAACGCTCGCAGCGGGCAAACGAACATGCTTCTCGAAGGAGCTGGCGCCGGTCTTCGAGGACCTCCGAGAAAACGGCATGCAGGCCCGGGTCCCAATCTACGCACACCGTCTTGAGATGGATCCCTTTCATCGAAAGCCAGAAAGCCCTGGAGAGGCCGCCATGAAGTATTCAGACGAAGCACTGATGCTCAAAATCAGCAGCTCGGCAAACCGCGGAAGCCTTCGATCACGCCTCGCTTTCACGGTTACCGCTTCCGGGGTTTGCCAGGCTCCTGCCAAGCTTCGCTGCTGTTGAAGCTTCTGTGTGATCTGGTGTGTCTCCTGCCTTCTTGCTGTCTTCCTGCATTCTGCTATCTTGCCCTTGGCCCAGGCAAGAAATTGCGAGAGTACTTGGGACAGTGGGAAGCGAGCCTGGGCATTACGTTGAAGTCCAGACAAGCATGATCAGGCCCAAGGCCTAAGGTCTGCTAGCTGTATTCTGTGGTGCCACACAAACCACATCCAGTTATCGGCAGTGCAGATTCGTGATATGACGTTGATTGCATGTGCTGAAATGATACTTCCATTTGTTTCAGTACATACAGTGGGGTATGTCTGCACTATACTCGGTTTTCGGTCGTATATTCGGATTCGCACGTGCAGACTGATGCAGAGATATCGAGGAGCTTTGGAATATGTACGTTTTGGCAGTCGTACACATGTGCGTACTGGTCCCGATCCGTACATGCACTGCTTTTCGTGCCAGACCCGATGCACGGTGCTGTGTTGATCCTTGCTGCATGGCTGCTGAACATCGCAGCTGAGGATCCTACAACGGCTTGAGCAGATGACTTTTCCTTTGCACGAGGTTACGTCTACTGGATAATCGGACATGTGCGTACCATGCACGGTGTGTCATTTACGCATGTGTTTATCGCTGGCATACGGATGCGTTTATATGTCTAGACACTAATACAAGCATACCGACATACATGTAGCCGGCAGGTACGGCACAATGCAACAGGATGCACTGTGGGTACAGTAGACTATCGGGATCGCGACAGGATCATGACAATTTTTCCGAAGGCAACGATTTCTCAAGCGATGGTCTTTGCTGATATCTGAACGGTTTTGGTTCCCTGGAGGAGGTAGTTCAAAAGAAGCTGTGGACCGTGATCAGTACTGCGTGCCCTTTCAGGGGCTGGCAACATGACGTAGCTAGCTGGATCATTGCCTGCTGTTCCAAGCTCATGTGAGGGACAGTGCAAACTCCTGTTCAGGTAGCCAAGGAAGGCGATGTGCGCCTGCTCCAGCTCTTACTCCAGAAGCTTGGCTTACAAGCCTAACGTAACACTTTCATGTAGCCTCTCTGTCTCTTCCGCGAGTGTTAAGCTCGCAAGCATCACGTGCAGAAGCGGCACTGTAATCTCGACAACCTGTCGTCTCCCTATTTGATGGTGTGGTACAGGCATTACAGGATGGACTCGTCGGGGCAATCTGGCAACAGTTGCCGTGAATCAGATCCATCGTTGTACGTCACACACCTGCCAATAGAAGCTCAATCGATAGGGCTTCCCTCAGTTTTCCAAGCCCAGGCGTCGCGAGACTCGTGAGGAGCCCGTGGACTATCAGGATTCTAAGGCAGGAGGGAAATTGATCTGCCTGTGGCCGTGTGCAATGGTTGTGGAGGTTCACAGGGCATTTTCATTCAGCTGGCACCATTGCCATTGTTCTCGAACGTGCTGATCAACTGCGATCGTCGTCGTTGTGGCCGTTGCTGCTGTTACTACGGTTGTTTCCGTTGTTCCTGTCTTTGCTTGTGTTCCTGTTGTTGCTGTTGTGGTGGCGGTGGTGGTGGGTGGTCGTTGTTGGGGAGGTGGTTGTTGTGGGTGGGTTGCGTTTGTGGCTATGGTTGTGATTGTGGTTGTGGTGGTTGTTGTTGGCGTCGCTGCTGCTGGCTCGGCTATTGTCGTCTCTGTTTTGAATTTGCCATGTTCTCGTTCAGCTGCTTCTCCCTCCTACCATTGTTGCGTGTGATGCAGGGCATCACTGCTCTGGGATACGCGATATGGGCCGGGCATTTGGAAGCCGCGAAGCTCCTCATCGAACGAGGCTGCTGGGCCTGCGTATTGCGAGCAGGGAGGCTGCTGAGATAGAAAGGATGCTATGTGCTGAACTCACCGACTCAGGAGCCGATGCACAACTCGTGGTGTCTTGGCTCGAACAGACACGTGAAAGGAGTTCTAGATGTAACTCGCTGTCGTGCTTCGCCACCGGGGCTCTTTGTCTTCGGCATGGGTCCAAGGACAGCTTTGACAACAGCTGCGTCCACTACGCAGCCGGATATGGGCATGCAGAGCTGCTCCTTGCAAGGAAAATGGATCGGAGAAGATTTTGCACTTTTTTGGCTCTCTATGCTGCATGTATGTTTCCATACTTGCATCCATGGACAGTTTTGCCTACTCCTACTGAATTGATGTGATGTGCTGCCGGCCATGTAGTCCCATAAATCCAAACCACATGCCTGCTTGGGAGTGTGAGGTGAGCAGTACGTTGCTGAATGTCGTGGCACAAAATACACATTGACATGAGTCTTTGTATTTGGGTTCCCACTGTGGAGTAACTCTCGGGTTGGTCGAGTCAGAGCCGTCGCCTTTGAATGCCAGCAGTGCAGGTTGGAGTATCTGCTGGAGTTTGGCTTCAGCATGCACCGTACCAATGCATCAGGCCTGACAATGATGGGCACTGCTTCGTCAACAATCCTGACATCAATGCCCACAGCAACAAAGCAGCCATGTACAAAAGACCAATGCGATGCAGTTCACACTCCGAGATGAGGCCTAAGCACATATTCGATTTTTGCCCCTGCAGGTCTTACTCCGATGGCAGTCGCCATGCAAAGCCACCAGGAGCTCTGGAGGTCTAGGAATGGCGACGCCGGTCGGAGCTGCCCTGTCGCGATTGCAGCCTGCAGGAAGCAACAATGCTTGTCCTCGACACCTTCGGAACGACCTGACTTGCTTTGGCCTCCTCTGGCCTCCTGTGACCTCGAGGCATGGCAGCGCCTGGCAGGACTGCATGAGCCGGCCCTGGAAGGCCTTTGTTCCCAGACAGCCCGCCGCCTTCAAATCGAGATCGGTATTCCATCCTATCAGGAAGGCTCATAAAGGAGGGCGTTTCGTAACATACGCAGTAGAGATTCCAAGGAGGCCCGATATGAATCAACAACCATACAAATGGACGACGTCTCTACGAATGCCTCAGCACGGAGGCACATGACGACGTGTTTTTTCGATAACCGTGGCGTGTGTCCTCCATGGTGCTGCTGGGTGCGGTATGCTGCAGTTTTGGTGCCAGACCCCATGCAGAGCGGCGCAGGTACTCCGTAGGAATCTGATGGAAGAGTCATCAGTTAAGTGCTGCCACACTTCGCTTCTGAGTGTTGGCCTGCCAGCTGCGCGCCACGTGTCAGATGCCCAGCTATTCCCAGCCTTTCATGTGAGCATGATATTCAAGTCTGCGTCTTGCTCTTCTTCAGTCATCCTGGCAGTTTCAGCCAGATTTCCGGCAAACTCTTGAAGCCGGGCATCTTCATCTTGCATCTTGTAGTTTACAAGGGCCGGTTGTCGAACAGCTTATCGGCTTCATGCTTCAATCCCGGGGTCGCCTGGGGCTTTTTTTGAGACAAGTAAACCGCAAGGCTTTGCTTTAGAATCGCAGAGGTGTTCGATGTAGCCGATAGCGACAGAGGGCACATCTGTAGCCGCCAATGCTCGGGTGCTCGATGTTCTGGGGCACGCGATTCCAAGGAAGGTGAAGGCATGAACATGTTGCTTTCACTCCCACTACCTGCCACAGCTGCCTGAAACGGGGCATGTCAGATGACCATGGTGAGGTATTTTTTCCAGAGGCAGTTCTTCGCCTCTAAGAAGTTATGCTTTAGCGGTGCTATGTCCGTTTGAAGGTGGTTGCAGCTGTCCGCGAAGCGCCGATGGCTGTCAAACTGAAACACTGATTCTAAGCTCTCAGAGTCTCAAAGGTTCACCAAAGGCGCCTCGCGTTGAGAGCGCGGCCATCAGCCTATTCTACTTTTGCATTTGCAGAGCTGACGTGTAGGTGGCGACGTTCGTTTTGGCGTTGTGGCCTCCACTTGAAGCTGATGAATCGGCGCAACCTAAATTATACATGCTGCAGCTGCGTTGCAGTCAGGGTCAAGCTCTTCGTGTGCTTTGCTGTTTCATGACAAGGCGATTTCGCTGCGAAATCCAAAGGGCCCTGGCTGTGGCAGTAGGCACTTCTGTAGATTGACTGTGCTCTGCTTGGGTAGCGGTCTCCGTTTCGATCAAGCATGATTTGGGTGTTGCCGGGTGAAGTACGAGGCGAGCAGCCTCGTTATGCGAATTTGCCATGGAACGAATCGCCGTGGCCACCGTGGCAGTCGGTTAGCGGAACCCTCGAAACTCACAAGACTTGTTTTGAGCAGGCGACTGTCAACAAGAGAAGTTAAGATGAGTCTAGAAACCGGCCGATTTGCCGCGATGCGTAGCAGCAGAAGCCGCAAGACTGCAATGCATCGAGCTTAACAGCTCGCCGCCTCTGTGCCAGAGCAAAGGTGCAGTTCTGCAGAGGCCTGAAGAGCTGTACTGAGCACTGATTCCATTCTGTAATTAAGAGACGTGGTACCAGAGGGAGCTGCAGTCTTGGGCTGTTTCCTGTATGATTACCCAGAAGGTGCTGCGGAGAAGTGCCTGCGAATGGGAATGAAAGGGAGGTGCCAATGAGAGGATGAGAGGTTCCGTAGCAGGACGATGCATTGATTGCATTCTGCGAGAAGCCGGGCTAGTCACCAACTGCGCGGAGCAACCGGAGCAGACATGTTTGTGTCTTGCATAACTAAGAAAACATGTATGTACTCGGGGGGCAACTCAGGAACAGGTCCAGAGCTCAGTAGAATCGAAGTACATAATGCATGGTATCGGATCTGCCAGGCGAGCACTGCTGCATGCCAGGGTTTTCAAGCTCCGCTCGCACCAAGATATCCGCACACTAGCAAACTTGTTCTGCCTCTTGTCATTCTTTTTTCTTGTTCCCCACAGATCGTTACCCCTTTTCATCGCCTGCCGTAGTCGTCATTTGTCTTATGGGGGGTCGGGATGGCATCGACACGGAAGTCTGTGCTTCCCTCCGGAGCCCTGCAGGCAACTTCAGGTCGGTGCGGAGCTCCTAAGCTTTGACCACCTGGAGCTCAGCGGAGAGGCCAGAAGCAGTAGCCGGCGCCCCCACTCCCTACTCGTAGTGGTACAGAGGAGCCATGAGGAGCCTTTTGAACTTTCGTGAGGCCTGGAACGTGACCTTGAACCAGCGAGGCGCTCTGGCAGTGAAGCTGAGATCTGACATAGCCGCTCTGGGTGGAGCTCAGCAGGGGGTCAGAGCCGTCCGCTTCTTGTGCAGGGCTGCTCGGTACAAGCGCGGCTGCTGCAGCAGTGGGAAGCGAAGTGCAGCTACTGCTGCTTGGCCGAATAAGGAGACTCGGTCGAATCCTTGCTTCCCTCAGATCTTTAGAAAACCCTACGAAACTCCAGACAAACCCTAAACCGAATCCCTGGCCAGCTCGGAATGCTACTTGAGCCAGGCTATTTCATGACCGCCGGCCGCTGCTGAAGCCCGACAGCCGAGCATGGCAGGCCATGGTCTGGTGAAGGGTTGTGCGTGCTGACGGTCCGATCCTCTAGTTGTCGCTCCGCTTGTTCAGCCGCGGGCGATGGCAGGGTAATGGCCCCCTCGCAGTCACAGAGCGTGCGTGTGGTACGATTTTACAGTGTAGGGTGTAGCAGGCAGGTTTGTGCATTTTCCGATTAGCGCTGGCAGGAAGCGATACGGGAATGGGCCAAGGACTGCGGCTTTGTTGAGACGACTATCTCTGACTGACTACCTGCATCTTCTCAGTTTTCCTTGGAAGGACGCAAGCCCTGGAACGGCGCTACTGGGAACTGGTCAAATGTGCACCGGGGCACTTGGACGTCGAGGCCCGCGAAGCAGTCTGAGCTCTGGCAAATCCTTCTAATATATATGTATATATATATATATATATATATATATACACACATATTTGTGTATATATATATATATATATATATATATATACATACCGTGCAAGCTCCACACAGGCTGGGTGCAGCGCAAGCTCCTCCTTGATGCTGCTCGGGCAGCTGGATCCCTGCGCCTGGCAGGGCAGCTGGGAGAGAGCTTCGAAGCCTGGCTTCGCAGAAGAACCTGCGGAATGACCTGTTGGGTTAGATATTGTGGGCGAGCTTATTGTAGCATTGTAGGAGTTGGGATGCAGGGGATGGCCCATCTCGTTTGCAGTTCTGCTTGCAAAATAAACCTGCGAATCGCAACGAATCAGACATCTGAGATGAGACAACATCATTCGATAGTGCCGTGCTACTGATATGCCAGAAGCTGACAACACTGTAGTCGAATGATTGCACAACATTTGCAAGTCGGGAGGCTTAAGCAAGCAATAATCCCGAATGGCGGCAGTTCGGCGGCGGCAGTGGTGCTTTGTTCGAAAATGCCATGTAAGAGGGTAAAATGCTACCGCCCCACAAGCTGGATATATTGTTGAAAGGCTTCCCGAATCTTGATTTAGTTTCCGGGTTCCGTCACCCCTCTTTCCGGGACACCCTGACCAAGGCCTACTATACAGGCACACCTTTGAAACAATCTCCGACGCGAAGCTTCGCTGGCACTGATCGCTTGGCTCTTGAGGCCCAGAAAGCAGAGTCACGAAGCAGCGCAACCACAGGAATTTGAGGATAGGGAAGTGTGCTGCTTGAGGCTTCAGCACAGCGAAAGCATCGGCTTGCGTAGATACTGCAGGCAGAGGATCGACTGCAGGTCAGGTTCGTTGTTGAAGCGCGAAGACTTGAAGCTCGAGTCTTCGGAATCGATTGTTTCAGCGGCAGAGCAGAGACGGTCCGCCAGATGTGTTAAACTTCCGTAAATGCATGCCGGGAGTCGGAGAACCCTCCCTGTCACTAGAACGTGTAGCCTTGGCTTCGCTCGAAGTGCTGCTGTGGGTCCAAAGTTGAGAGAAGAAGGCAGAACTTGCCGCTGCGTCGCCGCTGCACCTGGAAGGCGAGAAACTGGGGTGGGGGCTGCTTTCTCGTCGGGAACTGTTGAGCAGCATTAGCATACACCGAAGGTTTCGAGCTACACGTGCATTATCTAACATACAGTCTTGCGGAGCAGCGGAGTACCTCAAAGTGTCGTCTACTCCACGCAGGCTAGCGGAGTAATTTCTATCCAGTTTTAAAATTCTACTACCTGTTAGTTTCGGAGGAGGCTCCAGGGCTCACGTGTGCTAGGAGTCTCTGGGGAAGAGTTGCAGCATGTTCAAGCTAGCAGGTCGAACTATCCGCCCAGTGCAGTATGAAGCCTTTGAGACTCCCGCAGCAAGAGCATCCTCCACGGTCAAAAAGCCCGCATTGAAATGTGCTCAGCGCCACAATCGACCTTCATCAGTGCGGCTCAGGCTACGAGTGGCTCAACGACCCTTGGCTAATGCTCGTAGTGGGTCTCGTCGTATGCATGAGAGCACGACCTTTGAAGCCACTGAACTTTCCTGGTTTCCTGGTTACAACAGAGTGACTACCCTCCGTAGTCGCTCTGCTCAAAGCCGAACCGGCTCGCCGAAGAGTTGGTCGCCAAGGCATACGAGTTCGGTGCCTTCCAGATGGTGCAAGACAGATCGACAGGTGGTGGGTCCTGCCACTGTCAAAGCCGTACCTGTTGCATACCCTTTTTGAATTGCCATGGCACATGTTCACACTGACAGGCAGTTCGCGAGCAACGAGCAGCGATGAGGTGGAGTGGCTCATGGCACCTCGGCCGGCCCGGTGAGCAAGATTTACTTTGACAACCAGGTAGCTAGGCCACGCAGCCGGATTTAGGACCGCTTCAAACCCGCGGCAGGTACTGTGTATACACCAGACACGCTTGATACTTGTCGCGATTGCTTCCTCGCTAGCACTGCAAAGCTGTTTAAGCTTTGGAGATTGGAAGGGTCTTCAAGAGCGACTTCAAGTGAGCCAGGAAATGTTACGATGCATTGAACAGAAAGTTCTCGCGCTGCAAAGGGTCCCTGGTCGAGAGAGTGCAATCTTGTCGCCCGCGAAGCTGCCGAGGCGAAGTTGCTAGCTTTCGGAGGCAGCGCTGAGCTCCAAGGGCAGCCGGAAGTCCTCCAGGCGCGAGAATAGGGGCTCCTTCGTCAATACCCAGCACTGCTGCAGCTCGAACTTGCAGATTCCACGTGTCCGTCCAAGGCCTCCGAAGCGCTGGCTTCTGCAGGTCTCTGGGCAGAGGCTCAGACTGCGAGTACTCTTTGCTCCCCCCGCATGTTGTGGGGCCTTGAATCCTCGGCCTTCTGGGGGGGAAGGCTTGCGACAATGCAGGCAGAAGGTTTCGCGAGATTCTTAGGCTCAGTTTCCGAGATCATTCACCATGCTGACTTCGGCGCAAGCACTGTAGGCAGAAGAAAAGGCCAAGATCCGTGCCACTTGAAAGTGCACGAAGAGCTTGAATGCATGCTCGCTGGAGGCTGCAAGACGCAACTGGTTGCCAAAGTCTCTCCAAAAGGCGTGGGACTTGTGCATGGTCGACCAGTATAAAGATCCCTAGGCAGTTTGCATCATGGTTCCACTTTCCCCGCCGTCGTCGTCGTTGTCGTGGTCGTCGTAGTCACCGCCTTCGTCGTTGTCTGTCCCCTTCGCCGCTTCTTCCAATCCCCCCAGCATCCGAAGGGTTGATTCCTGACCAGTGACAGGTCCTCGCAGCAAGGTGCCACTCTGGTTCTGGATGCAGCCCTGATGGCTTCTACCGCATGGCAGGCGCTTGTAATGCAACACCAAAGTACCATGATTACCATCGCACGCGCTGCCACTGAATTATGTGATCATCAACGCTCCAAAGACAGCAATCACCGCAAATCACAAGCATCATCGGCCTCGGCCTCCTCCTCCACCTCCTGCTCCTCATCATCATCGTCGTCCCCATTGTCAGCAAAATCGTCACCATCGTTGCCGTCATTGGTCGAGCGAATCAAGTCGCGAATCCCATCGGTTTCCAGTGGCAGGAGTCTTCGCCGACAATAATGAATCGCTCGAAGCGGTGCGCTTCTGGCCAATGGGGCGCAAGGCAAGTCGAGACGTCAGCGGTGGCATAGGGGGTTCGTTGGTGCAACCCAGAACGAATGCGGCAAGCCGAAGCTGAGCTGAGATCGTCACGAGCCACTCTGATTTGCGAAGGTCAGCTTCGTAGCAGCCGACGGTTCCCCCACGACTGTTCAGCGACGCCGACTCAGCTCCAGCTCCCGTTTGATTTCCGCGGTCGCAGCATGCGGTGGGACTTGCCATCGACGTTCCAAGATTCACGCTTTTGCATTGCCACCTTTTTTCACCCGCAGACGCGTTGAACGGGGTTATTCTTGCAGCATTCTTGGGATTTCTCAAGGCCCTCTTCAGAGATATGATTGCAGTTGTTCATGTTAGGCAGATAGGCCTGTAATTAGGAGGCCTTGCCCCATCCTTGCCAACATTAACAAATTGGACTGTATCCTTCGTGGGACACCTGGGTTGTGCGATGTTTTCGATAGGATCCAAAGCAGATCCTCAGCCTTGTGTCAGTTCAGGAAACCCGTGGCAGCTCCAGCCACTCCGCTTCGAGCTTCAGGCACCCCTGCAGAGTTTAGGGCCTTTTAAAGGGCTTCAGAAAGCAAGGAAGCCGCGACCTGTTAGCTCTATGTCACACCGAACTTGTTGTGCGAACAAGTGGCTTCATGCATATATGCAGATGCACACATTCTGGTGCACAGTGTTGCACACACACACACACACATATATATATATATATATATATACATATATATATATATATATATATATATCAAACGTGTGACTTTTTGGGGTGCCGTGCCTTGTTTTGGCCTCGCGCCAGTGCCCTGCTCCGCTTGAAGCATCCGTGAATGCCCTTTACAGTCTTGAGCCCGCTCTCGGCTGGAGGAGGCTTTGTGCCCCGTGCTGGTCTGTACGCCCCCAGCATAGCTTGAGCATGTTTCACCTTGAAATTTGTCGTGCAAGAGGCGTGTCCCCCGAGGCAGAAGAATAATCTGTACGTGTACAGTGTACATGTATATTATATACATACTACACCCACATACACATCCTTAAGCTACATGTCGCCATCGAACTGCAGTCCTCAGCCGTCGAGTGCACAAGTGAACCAATCAACATGAGCCATCAACGCACGATGATCATCGAACTGAGGTTCTGCCAACGTTTGACTTTCAGCAGCGGCAGCCATTGCTCCCTGCGCAGTCACATGTCTGGCGACACATTGCATGGTTCGGCCAAGAGCCATGACATTGGTTGGCAGATGTGAACTGATTATGCTGTGCTCTCAGTGCCGCTCAACGTTTTGGCTGCAGAACCAACCACCTAAGGCTCTCACTGTTCGGCACATCATACAACAGCTCACAGCTGGCGGTCACTGGAGGCAGCAGCTTTCGCTTGGGAGGTGAAGGAGGGTGGCTTGCGCCCTCCAGAAGTACCTACACGTAGGACTGACCTCGTTTCGGGTTGTCGTCTCCTCGAAAACAGCTAGCACAGGCCAGCCCTGGGATATAGTCCTGGTATATTAGCAGCTGATGTTGTCGGTGTGTACTCCTTGTTCTCCTGAGAGAGTTAATTTCTCTCCGGAGTACCGTGGGTGCAGTTTTCTTAAATGCGGTGGATTCGGGAAGAGGCTAAAGTGAGAGCCCTCACGCTCTTGCAAGTGCCACCATACTAGTTTGCCCGTCATTCCCGCGTGTTGACATGTCACCCGGCAAGAGGAAACTTCAGCTTTCGCTTCGAAGCACTGGTGGATCTCACCGACCGTCTGATCAAGGACTGTGCGGGCTGCTCTTGCAGTTTCTTCTGGGATGCTCTGCTTTGAAGTTGCATCTCTGTGGTTCACTGGACCAAAGCGGCAGGCAACCTGGGCTTTGCCTTCTGGACTGTTGGACTTTACGCAGGCCGGCATTGATGGCACGTTGGCTTGTCCCTAACATGGATGCTGAAATACCATGTCAGATGCGTGCGGTTTGAGTTGTGCAAGGCCGCATCGGGCTATTCCGGTGTCCTGATGCTCGGCAAGTTCCGTCTAGAGTTCCCCGTTTCATCATGAGACGATAGCCTCGCTAGGACGAGTAATGACGGATAGAATCGGATAGAAACTGTGGGTGATGTAAGCCTGAAATCTCCGCCGCGAACATCGCAAGGGTTCGAAGTCTGTTGATTTCGGCTTGGATCCTGCTGCTGCATTGAGCCTGGAACCATGGAGCCATGCAAGGCAAAGCCCAGCTGCACCCCTCAGAGTTTACACGTCGAGCCAACCGATGCATGGAGAATGCTTTGCATGCACGAAGGATGAACGTGACGGGGAATGGCCTGGGTGGGCTCCTGCTGCTGGAACTCTCGGCCGGAGAAGGGAGGCAGGGCAGAGCTGTTGCAATCGCCACCACAGGATTAGAGGCATCTGGAAGACGCCCAACTTCAACCATCCAAGGGTTTAGGCCAAGCTCAGGCCATCATGGACCTTCAAAAACTCCCAGACCACGGTGGAACAAGTGCAGGACGCCGCTGCGATTTGCGGTCGAGCTCCTCGACAATTCCAGAATGAATGCGGTTCATGGTATTCAGGAATTTTTTTGGAGCCAGCAAGGAGTTTGTTAGTGGCAAGGGGAGTGGGGCTCGGCCAGAGTCTGTCAAGTTTTCGGAAGCCAGCACCCTGGACCAAGGAATAATTTCATCGGGAGGTGGGCGCGCAGCAAGAATTTAATCTGGACCGCCTGATGGGGACCGGGTTGTTTGCTGTATTCTGCTCTTTGATGGATGTTCGGCCTAGGCATCTGCAGAGACGTTGGTAGGGGAGACGGCTGCACGATCTTTCGATTCAGCACCCTCCAACATCCCGCAGAGTGAGAAAGCAAGGACAAACTGCTTCATCTGAGATACTGAGATACTGTGCCCTGGAGCCCGTGTGTGGCTCGGCGGAGTGCAGCTCACCGTCAGGCGCGAAGTTCTTCTGACGTCTCACGAGGAGGCAGAGGTGCCACGGCCTGTTGTGCGAAGTTTGCTCGATCGAATGTTCAGGCCTCGAGACAGAGAGAGAGTCTCGCGCCCGCAGATAGACGGACTAGGGGGAAGGAGTACATGAAGAGACGCAGTCTCACCACATCGCTCGCCAAGGTCGCAGGAGCGCATGCGACGGGGGGGGGGGGGGGGGGAGCGCAGACCGCCATGCCACAAGAAAGCAGGAGGAGAGGGAGAGAGATTTCGCGTCGACCGAACAAACTTGCACGCATGCCTTCCTCGAAACGGAGGGGGTCGACCACCTCTTCAAGACTGAGGTTGAGGAGGCCTGCCAAGCAGGTATTGGGCGCCTGATGGCGACATGTCGCGCTTCCGTGAGAGCTCGTCTGAATTGTTCAGACAAGGGTTACTCGCGCTTGATTTCGCCTCTTCTGTCGCGGCGGCATTCCCCTCAAGAACGCCGACGGAAAGAGAAGGAAAGACAGAGAAAAGCACAGAGAAGGCATCGGATTGCAGAGGCGAGTCTTGCGGTTATCCCCCGGCTAAGTGCTTCGGTCATGTTTGGTCAGCAAGCATACACTGGTTTGACTGCTCACGGTGCAGGAAGAGTTTGCCGCAGAATTGCAGCTCCTGGGACGGCAGCCGCTGCTGCAGGTGAGCCTCTGACAGTTTGTCAGTCTTTCAGCTTTCCAGGGCATGCTGAAAGTATTCTTGCAAGTACAGAAACTTGATCCACGTACAATCGGCATTTCAGTAGGTTCTCGCGGGGTGCAGCGGCTGGCAATCTTGGTTTGTAGTTGGAGCGCACCTGGTAGTTGATGGCCCCTGCACACTGCACGTCGACGACTTTGTGGATTTGGTTCGTGAAGTGTCAGGATGGTGATCTTTGGATCAGCCGCGTATCTGTGGGGCTCCTTGGCGCTGCCGCTCAGGCAAGCCAAACTTGGTTGGCAGAGACACTAGCAGACACTAGCAGCGAGTGGTGCGTGTCAGAAGGCATTTGGCTTCAGAGATAAGCTGCAATGATCGGTGTCAGGCAGCAGTACTAGTCGAGAACGCCGTGGCTGTGCGAAATGTTCGGACGCTCAGTACATCGCAGGTGGTTCTTTCCTTGCAGGTAGGGCTCGACACACTGGAAGTGTCTGGAGCAGTGATTCACATCCACTCTTTCTCTTGCACATGATTGCCAGCTTCTTCGAGATCCGCCGGAAATGCATGCTTGAAATTAAAACACAGCAAGGTCTTGTCTCCTTTGGCAAGCCCGACCCTGTTCGTCAAGGATAAGACCACGGGCGAGGCTGCCAGTGCTGCTGCACATGGAGCCGGGGAAGCTTGCGGGTGGTCTATCGCAGTTCAGCCGAGTTACACAAAGGCGCTTTTGCACTTCATGGCTCCCTCCCTGTGCAGGCTGTCGATGTTAGTCGGTCATTGTCGGACCGCATGCTGTCTTTGGTACTTGCTTTTGGCCAATCTTGAGCGTGGAACAGATCGCAAATCGTACGTAGCATATCACATCGCAACCTGCAGCCAGGTCCTCTCGAGCATGACGGTCAGCGGTTGTATACCGATTCGAACCTCGGTCGGCACTCAACGGCAGTTGACACCATGCAAGTTTTGGGTATTCTGGGTTTAGTAGGCGGCACTGATCAAGAGTCCGCTATGCGGCAATGTGTTTTCTTCTAACGATGTAGACCTTTTTCACTGCAAGATCTTCTGATGGCATGCATCCGGAGCCAGGACAGTACGTGGTGTACGAAGGCGGCGGCACAGCACAGCTGCTGGATGAGCAGCGCGTGTCTCTCAGAGAATCTCAGAGATGAACAAGGCGCTGGCATACCGCAGCCGGCGCCGGTCGTCCTCACTTGTGTAGATGAACGGATGTCGTAGCACGGCAGTCGCTACAACGATACATTCAATTTGCACCTGCAGCCAGTGTCATCCCCCTGTTCTGCACCCAAACACCAAGCACTCGAGCTCGGCTCACTACAGCATCTGCAACTCTTTGATACTGTCAGCTAGTCTCTTCGATCCAAAAAGGGAAGCAAGGCTAGTCTCATGCCGGCATCATGCTGAAACTGACAATCGTGAGCTCAGGCCAGCCTCAGGCTGAGCTGACTGTCTCGGGGGCCTTGATGCAAGCGCCGGGAGACTTCGTTGTGGGGGTGGAGGCTGGTCAAGCGGGATTCTAAAGTAGAGGATCAGGGGATGGTGGGGCGCAGGGGCTGAAGTGGCTGCAAGCGTTGCCGGACCTTGCAGGCAGACTCCCAGGCAACCTGCGGGGCGGGTGGCGTTCCGCCTTGGCTGCGGGCAGTGTGGCGTAGCCTCGGCGAGGAGGTGCAGATGAGAAAGCAGCAGTTGCTGGCATGGCTGAAGTAGCCAGTACCGTGAAGTCAACGCAGCTGCCATTGCCACTGCCACCACTGCCACCGCCATGCCATGGGTGTTGTCCTGAAGTGTGTCTTCAAGAAATATCCGAGAGTTGCTGCCATGCCCTTGTGACCTGTTGTGACAGGCCATCTTTGGCGCGGAGACGACGGACCGGGCTTTGTTGTAGAGTCAATGAGCAGAGCTATGGAAGGCTGGCACTGGTGACAGCTGTCGTTGCATGCTGCAGCTGTGATGGCTCCGCTGTCCCAGCTCCCCACCCGAAACTAACGCCAGCACGCCTTCCTTCTATACGTACCAGTCCTGGAGATCTGACGAAGCAATTCCAAGATGTCAGGCATGTCCTGGTCCATCGAACAGCTTGAGGTCCTGTTGGCCTGTGGGTCCAACTGCTTTTCCTCAGTGGGCATGCTCCTCTTCAACAAGCTGGCGGTCCAGGCTTTTCCACTCGAATGCTGTCTAGTGTGGTTTCAGCTCTTCTTCGCTGCAGCCTTCATGCTTATCTTCGCCTTCCCATACCTCCATGTTGGCTCTCTCAAAGACTTCCTGCGATGGTGTATCGTGGTGCCCTTCTACTGTGGCATGCTGTTGACATCCATCTTGGCATTGAAGAATGCCCCGATGTCACTGCTCATAGTCTTGCGAAATGCTTCGCCGCTAGCTTCCCTAGCAATCGAGCGGTTCTACCCGGAGCCGCTGCGCATCAGCCCATGGATGCTTGGGTCCATCTTCATGATGCTCGCGGGGGCCGTCATGTACGTCTCAGAGCTCCCAACAAAGCACTACCAGGGCATCGGATGGATCTTGTTGAACAGCTTTATTGCCGTGATGGATCGATGCCTGCAACGCCTCCTCCTTAGCAAGGATCAGCAGCCCGTGGACATCTCGAAGGCTGGCATCACCTTGATCAACAACTTGATGGGCTTGGTTCCTATCGGCATCGCGGCCTGGGCCAAGGGAGAACTTCGGGAGCTTCCGGGCACCTATGCCGCTCTAACCGCGCTAGACAAGGCCTATATCGGCCTCAGCTGTGTGATCGGTCTTTCCATTTGCTACACGGGCATTTGGGCACAGAGCCTCATCAGCGCAACCAGCTTCCTGGTCATGGTCAACGCAAACAAGTTCGTGATCATTTGCATCGAAGCCTTCGGCATGCACACCAAGGCCTCGTGGAAGAAGTCATCTGCTTGTCTGCCATTAGTGAAGTTAGTCCCAGAAGCCGCGTCTGCTGAAAATCACTGAAGCTTGACCACTGACCCTTGCATCGAAGCCAGACGAACATCCGGTGGGCCAATGAGGCTCAAACTCCGGAGCAACAGTGAACTCACCCGAGAAGCAAACACATGTTCGGATAGTTCGGCATGTCTGGAGAGGTTCTGACGATGAATCAGTTCCTCGGCGCCTGCTTGTCGATCTTAGGTGGGCGGGGATGGCCTTCGAAAGCGCGTTGAGTTAGGTCCAGGTCCGATAGACCGTATGATGCTACCTTCTATAGTTGCTTGTCCAACGCGTGTCTTTTTCAACTCGCTGGGAGGCGGAATTTCATACGGAAGGGCTCGCTCTTACATTGAGCAAGAAGCCGAAGAGAGGAAGCAGTTGGTGCCAGCGAAAGTGTGAGCTTCGCCAAGCTCCCGGCCAAAGATGCTTTGCTGCAGAGCATCGGTAGTAACACGGAAAGCTTTTGAAGCCGACTGTTGAAACGTCGACTGCCGGAGACTGAGGTGCAAAGCTAACAAGCTGTGCCGCGCTGTGCAGTCCGGTCGGATGACGGCATAGTCTCACGGCCAAGTGACGACGTTGTGACATTGTGCCTGATGTCAAAAGGTTGTGTGCTGTTTGCGTCACTGTCCGGCTGCGACGACCAAGCGCGGCAAAAAGATTGGAGCATGTCCTCGAACGGGAAGACGGCCTTGAGCTTCTCATGCGGACATCTTCACAGTGGGGCTGTAGAACTTCCTCGGCTCCTTAGGAACAAAGGCAGGCTTTTGCACACTCGGCGCGCTCGTTGCTGCAGCCCCTTTCAGTCAGGTTCCTACGTTTTAGCCGGTTCACGAAATGAAGGTGTTGCGGTCCACAGCGGCCCCGCCGGGCCGCCATGTTCAGGTGGAGACCTTCCTCGCTTGCGCCTGCAACTGCTTCTCCTCAGTCGGCATGCTTCTCTTCAACAAGCTGGCCATTGAAGCCTTCCCTTTGGAATGCTCTCTCGTGTGGCTCCAACTGGCCTTTGCTACGATCGCGCTACTCTGTCTTGCATGGCCTTCGATTCACATCGGCAGCTTCCGAGATTTCTGCAGATGGGCTTGCATGGTGGTTCCCTTCTACTGTGGAATGCTGATGACCTCCATCTTGGCACTCAAGAGCGCTCCCATGAGCGTTCTCATCGTCGTGCGGAATGCTTCACCGTTGATCTCCTTGGCAATCGAGCGGTTTTATCCCGAGCCTCTGAGGATCAGTGCCCCCATGCTCTTCAGCATCCTCATCATGCTCAGCGGTGCAGGTATGTATGTGTCCCAGCTCTCCCAGCAGCACTTGCGAGGTGTTGGATGGGTTCTTCTCAACAGTGTCGTGGCTGTGGGAGACCGGTTGCTGCAGCGCCTCCTCTTGTCCAAGCATCAGCAACCGGTAGACATCTCAAAGACCGGCGTCATCCTCATCAACAACCTCTGTGGTCTTGTGCCGGTTGCTTTGCTTCTTTGGATACACCAGGAAGCTGCTCAGGTGCCACGAGCTTATGCATCTCTGAGCTCCTGGGGCCTCCTCTTCGTCTTCTTGTCATGCGTCATCGGACTGTCTCTAAGTTACACCGGGGTCTGGGCACAGAGCCTCATCAGCGCAACCAGCTTCCTGGTCATGGTCAACGCGAACAAGTTCCTGATCATTCTCATCGAGGCCTTTGGCCTTCAGAAGATGGCTCTGAGTCCCCTGCAGGTGGCCGGAGCCAGCCTCACTATCCTCGGTGGCGTGATGTATAGCATGGAGCGTCAGGCCTTGGAGCAAGAGGCTGAGAACGGGCCTCTCTTGCCCTCGAGAAAGCTTTGAGATCAGGATTTGGGACTTGGGACCAGCTCGAGGACAAAAGAAATCAGCAATGGCAGTCTCTGCAGTGTCACGGCCCAGAAAATTGTCCCAAGTGCTCACTCTTGGAGAGTAGCAACACATTAGGAAGTTCCTGGTCTGTGAGGATCCGGCAGGAGCAACGCAGCATGGGACCTCAGTGCGCATGCACTTCATGCATCAGCACAGTGGGTCTCATGAGATGAATTGAAGGAAGCGGTTCAGCGGCTTCTCAGCCCATCAGAAGCTGTTCGACCTGCGAACTCTCGCGAACTTAGGACCTCGACATCGAACCATTTTGAGTTCACTTCGAAGGGAGCCGACATGCCCGAGTCCTTACTCGTGGGGGTGCAGTTCAAGGTGCCAGTTCTTGTTTGCCGTGGCCATGCAGAGCACGGACAGCATCAAGCATATCTGCTCTGCTGTGCATGCAGTTTACTCTGCTCGTGCAGGTAGAAGGTCTGGACTTCATCCAGCTTGTGGCAGACAGTGCCTTCCTGGAGCAGTTCAAGCAAGTCGTCAAAGGCCGGAGAGTGCTTTACTGTAGAGCTTTGTGACGAAGTCCTGGGATGTATCAGCAGACGCGGGTCCCGTCTCTCCGCCGCAAGCGGCAGGCGCTCTGATGGCAGCCACTGCACGGGCAGACCGACGAGCCGAGGCTCCTCCCTGCGCGCAACTGCCGTCAGTCGGAAACAGGGCTCCACAAAGGAAGGAGGCTATGCTATGCATCCTGGAGGCCTTAGCAGCCTCAGTGATAGCGTCATGCCTGCTAGCAGGACCTGGTTCTTCAGCTCTCTCCCGGTTCAGTGGTGGTCGGTGCCCGAACTGTTCTCCACAGCGGTTCAGCAGTCGTGAAGATGAAGCCGAGGTTCAAGCACGAATGGCTGCAGTCGCCAGGGAAGGAGCTGAAACCTCAGCTTGGACGCGATGCGGTGGTGATGGGATTTCGTTGTTCCAGGCTCTCACATGTTTGTTGGAACTCTTCGGATGCCAATCGACCCTTAATCAACTGGGTCCTTTACAGCTGCTGGCAATGCCGGAAGTCTATCTGATTCAGCGGGGTCCTGCAACCTCTCGAGCCCGATGGAGACTGTCTACCCCACCCCACACGCACGCACACAGCTATACGGCGATACTGCGAACCCTCGCCTATTTGTACGTGCACACCTTCGTGATGCACATGTCTCTCGGTGTTATCTCGCCAAATCTTGTGCGTCTGTGTCGCATGTTCAGTTGCTGCATATGCATATTTGGATGTGGCTAGGTCGCCTATGTACTACCGTCATGTCCCTCAGCCAACCACGAGGAAAGCGTCGCAGCTGCAATGACCATCCTTGCAGATGGAATGCATCACGAGGTGCTGTGGCTGCATATGGCTTGAATGCAACATCGCGTGGAAGCATGCATGCAGCAGCTTTCCCGTGTATCGTGATACCGCGTAGCTGCGGATCAAGCCCGTCGATATCAAGCCAGGGAACAGGGTTTGATGATAACAAAGGCAAGCGCACTCCAGCGAGACTTGATTGTCCGACTCGCCGGCATACAAGGCGCGTCCTTCCCGATCATGTTTCAGTTTCGCCAAGGCTTCATGTGGACATGGGGAACCTCCGGCACTAGACTCCGTTTTTGTGTTGTGAGGTCTTTCGTCAGTGGCCTACAGCGCCATCTCAGTGGGACCAATCAGTGCAACCCTGCCGAGATTCAAGATTTGCTATTTTTGTTGCCTGACTGACTGAAGCTCGGCGGTGGTGCATATACTTGTAACAAACTTGAGGTCAGCCTTCTTGCCGTGGAGGTGTCGGCGGCATTCTGCCTGGGTTGCCGTTGCTATATCTTCCCTGATGAGAACTCTATTACATCGGGCAAGCATCCGGAGTGTGTGATATGTCATATGGGTCTGTTTCCAGGCAACGCCACAGCCTGCTCCCACGGTGCAGGACGCACAGGGCCACGCCATGCCATTGTCATGTTCTGTTCACTTAGCTCTGGTTGTGGGCCTGCAGAGCAACAGTGAGCCTGTCTAGCCTCTGTCTCCGTTTTGGCCCTGGGCCCTCGGAGTTACAAATCTAACCCCGCTCCGCTCTGACCATCTGGCTAACTGTGGCAGGACTTCATCCCGCTTTGGGCCATCATCGCCCTAAGCGTCCTGACCTGCTTCACGATGATCGTTGGCTTGATCGCTGTCTACATGCAGAGGAGATGGGCGCAGGCAGCCTCGGCAGCTCTCAGCCGAAGTTGGGGCAAGTCAAGCGCGAGTTCTGGCCGGCTGATTTCCAGGAACGGCGCCGCCGCTCCCTCGGCGGATCCGAAGGACGGTGAAGGGCCACGCTTCTGAAAGGGGGGGGGGCTTTCCCTGGTGCTTGGGGTCCGACTCCGCCGCCGACAGGCTCTGACCCCGTGTACATGACCCGTCGCGTTCGAAGCCGTCTTCCAGGCCGGCGACCGCGTTCGCAGCGTTCGGCGGGTAAGGCGACCTGTAGCTCCTTCTGGAGGTTCCACGAGCCCGCAGACCGCATCGGAGGGTCCGGAGGACCGCTTACGTACGTTCAAAACCAGCTTCCGTAAGAAACGTCCCGGAGGCTCCGAAGAAGAGGAGTACTTCCAGGCTCTTGATGAGCAAAAGGGCAGCTGGGGCAGCTAGGCTGAAAGGCCTCTGCAAAGCTTTCGAGGGAGATGTTTGGATATTCAGACTGCGGCACTGCATTGCTTGTGTTTGCTCCATGTAAGTCGACACCTGCACTGCACCACGCTCTGCACAGAGGCAGTGTTCAGGCAGGAAAACTCCTTCAAGCAGTGACAAACTGAGATAGTTACCATCAGGCAATGACAGCGCACTTTAGTCAAAGAGATCTGGAGTCCCGAAGCCGAAGCTTCCCAGGACAGCGTAAAGTCTCCACAGCTCTGCAAAGCCGCCGAACACTGGGCTTGTGAACCAACTTTAGTCCTCTCTAGAGGTGGATTCAATTCAAGGAAGATTGAAAACTCTATGCACATCCTAGCATCGTGGTGCCGCGAAAGGCATCCAACCCTTCAAGACAAGGGCAAGAGCCTTCCACGGTCCTAGGCCATGCGGAAGGTTCGGTTTTCCGATGCGGAGATGCCAGAGGCAGATTGGGCCACAATTGTCCTTCTCATGCTGGTGACACTAGCTGACATTAGCTCATTATCTTCGTTCGGTGCATGAGATCGGCTGTTCGAGACGCATGTGCAAGACTTAAACATCGCAGACTGGCAGCCAGGTGCAGGAGTATGACCCGCGAGAGCTTCAGTTGGCTGCCGCAGAGAGCAGCCAACGCAACCAGAAACTCGAGGCTTCGACGCTTGCGACATCTGCTGACTTGCTTGCTTGATGTCTGTGCATGCATAATGTGTATATGTTCAAATACACATATATGTATATGTATACATATCTATATATATATATATGTGTGTATACTCATATTTATCCTGGACATGTGTGTCGCTCTGTTCCATCTGCCAGGCCAAAGTTGCCGAGCTGGAAGCAGCTCTAAAGAACGTGCAGGGCACCCTTTGCTTCGCAGAGGCAGGCAAAGGGCATCTAAAGCTCGAGGTTCGAACTTAGCTCGACCGCATCGAAGGCACCCAGGCTTCCATGTGTGTAGATGGTCTAGGGGTCCGAATACCTGACGGCGGTTCCGGCGGGTGTTGACGATTTGTTCATGATCCCTTTGGATGCTCCTGATTGGGTCGCGGAAGTCATGCAGACACAGCAATACTCGCACTCGTTTCGCTCTTGACCAGTCGACCGATTTCAAACTCTTCATTGCCCGAATGCCTTGGAATGAGCAATACAAGATCCTGCAGCGATGGTTTGAGCTCTCCAGGCCATGCTTGCTTCTGTTGGCAAGGCTGACAAGCGAAAGCTCTCGCTCTACCCTAAACATCATCAGTCAATTTATTGTTGACTCTTAGCAGTCTCAGCGCTGACTCTGACCACGACTTCATCCTCGTGAGCCCACTGGCAAGGACCGCTTGGCAGAGGTTTCCAAGGAGCGCGATCAGCTTTCGCTCTCAGTAAACGGTGACCCGGCCGTCTCTGTAAATCTGCAGTTCATGGCTGGTGATAAGTGTTCAAAACGGTCTAAACCTAATCAAGCTCCAAAAACAGAGGGAAGGAAAAGCTTTCGATTCTTTGCCTTCCGTATATGTCGAAGCCTTACCGGTATGTTTTGTTCTCACCATGCTTTACGCTCAGGCAGTTTGGGCCATTTTCACACTCTTCGAAGACTTCGCTGGGTCTTGTGCCAAGGTGCTGCGCAGAGCTCCACATTGCTGCAGCAACAAAGCCACTTCGCAAGGCTTGGTGCTTGGGCCCCGCACCTTTGCTTTTTCTTTGAGTCGGGCACGGTGGGCAGTTGTAGGAGCTCTTCGGGGACGCGAAGATCGCTGGGCATCCTCGGCGAATGCGAGGACAGCGGCTGAGGGCTCAGGGCCGCCGTGTGCCGCTGTGATGTCCGCTGATGTGGTGCGCAGGAGAGCATGGGCGACACGGACGTGGAAAGAGGGGAAGTTGTGCATGAGCTGGAAGACCTGGAAGACCTGGAAGCTGGAAGTTTGGATGGCTTCGTTCGACATCAAGAGGTACTGGATGCAGAGTCTGTGAGATCGGTGCGACTCCCAGCGTCTTTGAAACGGAGAGTCTGTAGAATCGGCCCCCGGCCACAGGACCCTCGCTCCGAGTTTAGTCTCTGGGCTACGGAGACGGGGAGCCATCAAGGCGGCACGTCAGAGCACCGGACTTACCTCCTCGTCCCGGCATCGATGCTCCAATGCTCCAGAGCCCACATTTCAAACCCCCACTTCTGTTCAGCCCAGGTCGGTGGGTTTGGACGAGCCAGATGACGACCTGCAGATCACACGCGTCTAGCTTCCGGGAGCTGGGGAAGCCTGAAGGCCGGAAAAAGGCTTAGGGAAAAGGAGCCTTGTACTGAGACGTTTTGACAGTTTGAAGCCTTTTCACGAAGGCGGTTGACGGTTGCATTTGAGATGCAATCCGAATGCGAGAGATGTTCTGGTGCATCCTCGGGCCGGTCTCCAGTAGGACCGAAACCAAGAAGCAAAACAAACAAAATGAAGTTTCTGGAGCCCGTGGTAGCCTAGCAACCCGCACAAGGTCGGGATCTCTAAAGTCTTTGGCCCAGGAGTGGCCCAAGTTGTAGACACTGCATGGCAGGGAGCTCTCGAAGTTCCTGTAAAGGCTGGCTGGCTAACCGTATTGGCAGATGCCCTGCATTTTACTTCGCACACTTCGCGTGAGTGCCCAACCAGGAGGTGATTCGCAGGCATTCTTGCGGCAAGTGGGAGCCACCGGCTCTGCGTAGACCTTTGCCAGGCAAGTTCTGGAGTGCGGCACTCAAAAGAGAATGTCTTCAAGAAAAACGTCGCACCGGAAAACAGAACCAGCTCACTGAGCTTCAGCATGGTATTGGTATTGACTGGTCGAAGACTTAAGCAAGCACTCCGATTGCCTTGCCTTACGTGACATTGAACCTGCGAAGCAGGACTGCTGCTACTTCCTAAGGAAGTTGCCCCGAAGCGAGATTTCGAGTAAGACAAGCCTGGTTCTCTGCACCTCTGGACTGTGGGCACCAAGCACAAAACGCGGAAGCCGCGGCAGGTGCCCGGAACCGCCAGTTCTGTCTTCCGCAGCTACGAAGAGCGGTTGGACGACACCCGGCTGGTGCAAACCCCCGAGGAGGACGAGGCACCGCAGTTCACAGCCGCTCGTGAGGACCGGATGATGTGCCTGACCCTGCCCTCCACAGGAGCTGATCATCAAGGTGCCGTTTGTCTCTCCTGCCAAGGCGCCCAAGCATCTTCACACTTTCAATCAGCGAGAGGGTTACCGACACTTGCGGCGACTGGCATCGGCATGAGATGGACTTCGCAGCCATATGTACAGCTCAAGTCGCAGTCGCCGCTCATAGCGGCAACGATTTTCGGTCTCAGCGGCTGCTCCTGGCTCCATGCAGGGCTGAAAAGCATCGGAAACAACAGCCCGGCATTGATGCTGATACTCTTCGATACAGTATTAGTTGTAAGCCGTCTGGGCAGAGCAGAGATCTGGGAGCCGCCTCGCTGCGCCGTGTGCAGTGCTAACTTGGTATCCTGTTTTCCGTGGGCCCTTGTACAGCTCATGCCACCCAGACGATGGGTGCGATCTTCGCCCAAGAGTAAGACAGGAGCGAGTGTGGTCACCAAAGTTCCACACATGCTGTCTAGCAAGATCAACAAGTGTGTCGAGGAGCAGAAGCTAGCGATGCGAGCGTTCCGGCAGCGAGCCGTCCATCTGACGGCGTGAATGTGGTCCGCTAGCCGCACTTGCCTGGGTCGTGAAACATTTTATAGGTTCAGTCCGTACGTGCTGCAGCCGAGGTCTGGCACAAATGGTCGGACCTTCGCCTTCTCGACCACGAGCCGCTTTGGCATGCGCATGCCAAGCCTGGTCCCGCCATGACCCCGGAGCTTTAGGTACGTTGTTCAGGTGCAAAGCTCTTCGATGATTGAAGCCCTCTACTCTGGCTCTCGTCAAGCCCGTTGTCGGATTGTCGGTTTCATGGTGTTTCCCTGCATGCTTCTTTATGCGAAAGCGTGAGTTCGTTTGGTGTGCCGGTACCGAGAGGTCCTCCACGTCCACCTTGTAGAGCTGCCGCTGCTCAGCGGACAGCCCCTTGCTCAGACTGCTCCGTAGCGGTGCTCCTTTCCGCTTCCGCTGAAAGTTGTGCGGCGTTGCCTTGAAGATCCTAGGAGCCGGGTGGGGAAGGTGCCCCGCTGCTCTGCGCGGCGAGCGGAGTTCTGGCGTCAAAGCGTGGAGGCCGGAAATTGCGATCGTGGGGAGAGCCACCCTGGCTCCAAATGGCTCCTTGTGCAACTTTTTCGGCTTTGAACCCTGAATTTGAAAGGATCTGGCTATCCGATTAGAGGAGCGAGGACAAAGACTGGTCGCTTGGACGCAGCTTTTTCAGGTTGGACCTGTTCTGGAAATGGGATCAACGCTGCCGCTGTCATCCTTTGCCTGATGTCTGGGTCAGGAGGTCCGAGCGGAAGAGCTAGGAGAGAAGTGAGCTGTGCCTGGACCTGGACACCCAGTCTTTGTAGTGCAGATGGGGATTCAACAGCAGTGACAGACCCACCCCCTCACCCTTTCGAAAAAAAGCTTACATGCAGAGCCACTGCTGAGGTTGTCGAAGCTGTCGAGGATCCGAGCACCTTCTTCGCAGCTCTGTGCGATGCTTGTTTGGGAGATTTGTCCCCCTCCATGATCTCAGCCCCGCTTGACTCGTTGGTTGATCCAGGAAGTTGAACTGGAAGAGCAGCAGGTACAGGCAGATGTCTGGGACGGAGGTGCCTCAATCCCCGCAATTGCTGCCTTCAAGCCATTGCATGCTTTGTAGTCTTTCTACATACCTGGTGCTTATAGCTGTCTTCGTCCCTGGCGGACAAAGCCCCCACACCCCAGAGTCATAGTCGCACTGCGGGACTTAAGGAAGAGATTCCCGTTTCTGGCGTCTACGCCCACCGGGAGTTCTGCGAAGAGGAGCTCGAAACGGAGGTCAAGAGCCAAGAGCTGGCCCTAAGGGTCCATGTACCCAAATAGGGAGTACTTTAAGGCCAAAGCATATACTGTTTGGGTACATGGACCCTTAGGGTGTAGACTCCGTAGACTGTGCCTACACGCCTGCCTGCTGCAGCTGGGAGAGGGCAGAGCGCCGCAGAGGCAGCAGTGCGGCGAGCTCTGGCAGCCTGCGGCGCCGAGCTGCACACATTCTGGGGCGCTCTAACGGCAGGGGTCTCACCATGACTCGCCGAACTCTGTAAGGAATCGCCTTCCAAGCTTACAGCGAAGGTGCACCATATCGACGACCTGGGCTTTGATGCCAGCAGCAGGACCTGCCGAACACGGAGGAGACGGAAGTATGAGAGTTGAGCCGGAAAGGAGTGAGATGCCCATGTACAAGGGCGAGTTCCAGCGGGCAGCGAAGCGGCGACCCATCCGCGAGGCAAGATGCTGGCCAGAGCCGCACACGACATCTGGCGGTACCCTCGTGCCGCTGTGGAGGTGTTTTGTTGCCTCAGGTGCTGCCAATCCCAACGCTGCGCAAGCCACCGGCGAACTATCGCGTGAGGAGAGACATCGAACAGGTGCGAGGCCTAGGCCTTGGACGGGACGATCTGGAGCATCTAAGACATCAAGGCCAATCTCAAGTTGCCGCTACAGAGTGCGCAAGCAAGAGCAGGTCTCATCGCATCACAGGGCAGAGTGCCGGTGAATTCAGTATGTTTAATTTCTGCCTTCATGCATGTTGCGGGAACTTCGTTGGCATAATGCAGTGTATGGCTTCGTTCAGAATCGTTCTGAGGCCTTCGCTTCGGGTCCGCCGCAGCTGCCTCCGGAGGAGCCTGATCTGCAGGGCCTGGTGCTTGAATGTGGCGATTCGGTTCGTTGCAGTTGATGTGGTTTGCTGCAGGAGCGACAGGTCTTTCACTGGCAAGGCGGGCAGCTACAAGGATTCGAGGGCTCGCATGGGTCACGGGATCGTCCTGCTTGTTCAAGGCGGTGAGACAGCTGGCCTGGAGCATTTGAGAAACTACATCGAGTGCGGGCCCCGACTATTTTGAATGTCGAAGATCCCAAATTCTCGTGAGTTCGTTTGTGGCCAAGTTCGGGACAACTTGCAAGTTACCGGGGAGCGACAGAGTCCTTCGCCCACGGCGAGGAGAATCCGGTGCCATGCCCCAAAGTTGTCCACTCTTCGTACAAACCCTCACATTATGAACTTTTATAGAGACCCTACCAAATGCAGGTTTTGGCCGGCTAACGTATATAGGCACTGTGTTGCGACACCTGCTCCCGACGGCCATGCCACAAACGTATCGCAGATCATGCAGAGATCGAGCGTGCGGGATCGCACATTTGCAATGGCACCTCGAGGTGAACTCTGGGACTCGCCTGAGTCCATGGCTGGCCTTTGGCTGCCTCTCTGCACGTATGGTCATCAAAGAGGCCACTCTTCTGGGATGCCATGTGCATGTACACATTGAGTGGTTGTACAGAAGCCTTCAACAGTCCTTGCGTTCCGTGTGCTGGTGCCTTGAAACAGATCAGACCCCAAAGCTTTTCTGGTTCTGGTCGCCTTCCACAGGACCCTCGTGTTGGATCACCCCCCCCGGTAACCTCAGAAAGGCAAGGGAGTACGAGCGAAGACACGGCAAGACCAGCTCGGGGAAGGGCATTGGAAAGATCGGTGCCTTGGCAGAACAATTCTGCAGGTAGCTGCCAAACTCGGGCTCTGGAAGTTCAGGTTTCAAGATTGGGTCCTTCGCAAATGTGTTCTACTAGGCGAGATAGTGGTTCTGCTCCAGCCTGCAGCAGTCAGTACTTTTCGGCTGGATGATGTCAGATCGGTAACTGCTGCACTGCAATCCTTCCGGTGGCTGTCGGATGTGAGAAAACGTCAGAGATCGGAGAGGTTCCACCGGGACCCGGCTACACACGGAGCTCCTTTTTCGCGACTTCCTACGCTTCTCTGCTCTGGCCTGGGGCACCTCGCTCTTCAAAATTGGAGGCCCAGATCGCAGCGCGTGAATGTATGCGTGGGTGTGTGTGAGCGCCGAGAGCGGCCAGGGCCGTTTCACGTCCAGGGCCTCGAGTGGAGCCGAGACATGGAGCTCTTCCGAAAGTGGCGCGAAGGGCAAACAGGTTCGGTTCCAGCCGGGCCAGTGCTGGAGTCTTGAAGAGTTCTCCAACGGACCGATTCAGGTTTTCCCTTTGTGGACGCCGGCATGCGCGAGCTTGCCGCGACCTGTCGTAATGAAGGATGAGGTCATGCGGCGCTGGTTCTGAGTCGCTGCACCAGCATGTCTTGTGCTGTCCCTGCTTCTTTTGGCCAAGGCCACCGGGTACATCTCACATCTCCATCGGCAGTGCTGCGCTGCCTTCTTGGCGTCCTGGCCTGTCAGAGGTTGAAGGGGCACAGTAGAAGAGCCTCCTACTCGGCGAGCGGGCGTGTCACAGGTGCGAGACCTGCGGCTGGATTGGAGGATGGGTGCAGAGCATTTCGAGTCTACCACCCAGCTTGAAGATGTGTTGTTCAGCGCAAGTCACCCTCCCGACGGCCAAACCTCTCCTTGCAGGTCTTGTCTGCTGGATCATACCCCCGATGCCAACTGGGGCAACTGGGCCTACCGAATCCTGCAGCGACCCTGCCTGGTTGAAACCCGTGCCAAGCAACTTGGCGACAGCTTTCACGAAGCTGCACTTCAGCCGACACCGAAGCTGTTTGTCTCAAATTAGGTTTGGGACGGGTCCAATGGAATCCATGTTCAATCCATCTGATCTCCAGAAAGGGCACAGCAGTTTCTTCCCAGCAGAGGTATCCGGTCGAGGAGCACATCACGACGGTCGAGGCACGGGGGCGGCGACCTCTGCTTCGCTGAGAGAGCAGTCTCTGTTTTAATCTGTGCCTCAGGTTGTTGCATGGCCGGCAGTCCACGATGCTCGATTAGACCACACGTTGCGCTGGTGCCCCGCACCTCGGAGAAGAGTACCCGATGCGTGCAAAGCTCTGCTGGTGTGTCCAGTTGTGAGAGGAGATGATAGTGCTGCTGGTGATTCGTGATGATCGCAATCTCGTCGCGGTTCTCGCCATCACTATCGGCATTCGCTACTATCGACATTGTCGTTATCGCAGGATCGCAGTTTGTCGCGATTTGTCACGACTGGCGCTGCCTTTGCATCCGAACTACCAAGTCTTTGCGGTTGTCGGAGCCATGCAAGGCCACATGCCATCACACGACTGTTTCTCAATCTCAGGAGCTCTGCAAGCTCCCCAAGGCCGGGGGCCCTCCGTCGAGTGTAGGCCCAAGCACAAGCTGTTCGGAAGCGCGGCTTGGCCAGGGCGTGGTGGTGTTGCTCGTCAGTGTGTTGTCCCATCATATCCAACAGCATGGGATCGCGAGTCGTGTAGCCTTGTGGCAGGTGAAAGAAATGGCAACGGTAGGTTCTTGCCCGTGACAGCCATGTAAGGTTGCATGCGGACAAGGTAGTACCGGAACTGCAAGTCCTTGCAGGATTTGGCCCGCGAGCCGTGGCTGACCGACACCGTGCCAGAAAGGCGTATATCCATCAGGCCTTACAAGGAGAAGGGGTTAATTGAAACCAGCTGGGGCTACTTGGCATCACTTCAATGGGTTGGTCACAGCAAGAAGCATCAGCGAATACAGCTTGTGCATGCGAGTGTTCAATGGAACTACGCACGTTCCCTTGAGGGTTTGCTGCCCGAGGCTTGGTGTATAGGCTAGTTTGGTGGCAGCACTTCAGGGACTGGGAGAGAGAGTGTAGCAGAAACCTGCAAAGAGGACTCACCTCTTTGGTTCTGCGCGGCCAACCGAACCAACTGGGACTACGAGTACTTCTGGCTTCCTGGACATGCCTGGACAGTGAAGCCAGGCAACAGCGAACCCTAGCTTGCACAAGGCATAAGTACCCTGAAGGATCCGGCGCTGGCAGCTTCCCCGTTTTCGATCATAAAGTCTATTGCCTCACACGCGATCCGAGGAGGCCAAGCTGAGTGACTTCCACCTTGGCCGCGACTACCCGAGGCCCTGGCTACGCAAACTCGACAGGGGTTCTTGAACTCCTTGCTTTTTGCCACTGTGAGCAGGCCCATCGTTCCTCCCTTGAACGTGGAGCTGGACCTGGATGCAGCCGGGTGGCAGACGGGAGATGCGTAAGTCAAGGGAAGCTTGAGAACCTCGCAGTCCCTTCTGATGCTCAATGAGAAGTGAACATTAACTTTACTGGACAGCCAAGTTGGCAAGTTACTTGCGCACACGAAATCGGCACGTCGCTTCCTATGGATCCTAGAAAGAGTACAGGTGAGGAAGCCTGACCCTACACAACATGGAGTTTGGAATGATGCACTTCCCGTTACAAGCCCCCTCACCACCCCAGCTCTGCCCCAAAAGCATGCACTAAATGCCTACCCGTATCCCAGCTTAGCGGAAGGAACCCCGAGGTTGCAGAAGTGCCCAGATTTTTTCAATATTTGTTCGACGGCCTTGTCGTTTACCAGTCCGTCCGGTGAGCCAGCTCAGATCTTGCCTGTGAAATTCCACAGCTGGGGAACTGAGCCGGCAGTGCGGCACCACATTTGGGGAGGCCTGCTCGGGTGGAGCCGGGTCCTCGCGGGACAGTGCTTGAGATGCTTGCTTCAGGATCGAAGCGGCCAGACGGGTCAGCAAGTGAGGACCACTTCATGTTGCAATGGGCGTGGGTCTTCTCAAGCCAGCACATGGGTCGAAATGCCTTGCTCTCTTGCCTTCGGACAGGGCAAAGGCAAAAGCCATGGCAAAGGCTCTGGTAAAGGCAGCGGTAAGAGGCCTGGAGCCTCGGATGATACCCAATTGGTCCGCAGCCGTCTGCGAGCGCCGTGCGCTTCATTGCTGCTGTGTTGTCTGAGGTCAGGAAAGGGCCAGGGCCGGATCGGTCAAGGACACGTCGAGGGGTGGCCTCCATCCGAGCCGCCTGCCCAGAAACGCAAGTACTACGGACCCATGAGATGCATGCAGAGCACCTAGAGCTAGAATTGGTCTCTATACTCCCCAGGTCCTCGCGTGAGCGCCGCAACCCTTGGCAAAAGAGACGGCATGAAGCCGACTGGCAAGAGTAAAAGCGCCGTGCATCACTTCCGGCTTATACGATTGGTCAAGGGGTGACAGCTGGGCTCATCGCGCACCGGGCTGAAGCGACATTGGAAGACGAGCGTACCTTGCAATCCGCAGCAAATAAGGCGAATGAATGCTTGAGGCCTCTTGCGCAGCATCATTTTTTCGGTGTGCCAAGCTATACTTATACCATAGTTGCGGGCCTGTCTTCTCCTTCGATCCTGGCCGAATCCAGATCACACTTCGTTTCCTCAGGATCCCAAGAGTACTAAATCAGGCGTTTGATGCTCTGGAAGCTCTGTGTGTGCCAGATCACCAGCATCACAGTGATCGGCGGAGATGGCGGATCGGCACCCAGCAGCGTCAAGCCCGGGCCTGAGAGCTTGCTCCTGTCTGCGACTCCCACGGCTGCATCACTGCATCCTGCAAGCTGCCGAGAGCAGAAATCATGCTCCGAAGAATTGTCCCGAAACTGGCTTGCGTGTGGCGTATGTTCGAGTCTAAGCCTGTCAGCCAAGCCGAAGCTTGATGCTGCTTCCAAGAGACTCGCGACCTCAGCGCTCATGGTGGGGGGAATTGAGATCTCAATTGCATCATCGCCCCGGGTCTGTTTCAATTCGGCCTGCGGAGCGCCGAAATCTAAAGAACAGGATTTTCAACAGTTTCTTCAAGCATTTGATGATTGTGAAATGGAGTCACAGTGCTCTTCGTTTGTCGACGTTTCCCAAAGCGATTTTCTCACCTCGGGCCCCAAAGCCCCGTGCTTCTGTACGAAACCTGAGGCTGTACATCAACCGTGAAGATTTGGACTTCACATCAGTTGGTGATATTGAGCCAACGCAGGCACCGTCTGTTTGCATTCTCCTAGGGTTTCACATGTTCGGGCCTTCAGGAGGTGCAGCTTGTGGAGGACTTTCACGGGGCTGTGCCGGACTTGTCTTGCTACAAGTAGCGGCAGTGGCTGGCGAGTTATTGCGCACGTGCACATTGTGGGACCTTGCGCTTCGACCGAGATTCAGTTCCCGCTGCGCGCCGCAAAGTTTCTGTCCTGCACTTACTGCGATCAGGACAATGCGGTAACTCGTTCCAAGACCCCGGACCACATGACATGTTGAGGGTGCTGTGCAGCGTGTGCATATCAGGTCTGTCACAAACGTCAGCCTCTACTTTCCGCACAGCCTGAATCTCGGCTTGCGACCGACATTTTCTTTCATGTGTCTAACGTCTGGGAGGTTTCGGAGGCGAGCGTACGCGGATCCACTGGATTGGCCTTTGGGGCGTCGGATCCGAGCACAAGCGGCAGGTGGCATCAGAATGAGCCCAGCACCTGCCGGAGCAATGCAGAACGTGAACTTGTCTGTGCCAGTCTGGCAGGCTGTGATGACGGTCTACGAGGCTCAGGGCATTTAGAGGCTTGCTACCACCGCGCACCAGATGTTCTGCCGGTTTGTTATGCAGGCCATTGGCAACGCCAAGGACAACGATGTGAAGGACGATGCTCGAGACCCAGGTACTCTTCTCACCTTCGGACTTTGGAGCGCCAGCAAGGGTTACCCGGGTGTTGGATGAGACGAGACCTGTGGCGCCATTTGTCCAATCACACTGCTTGGCTGGGAGAAGAAGTCATTTCTTGCTTTCTCTGGTGTACTCTGCCTCGTTGGCCTGGTTTTCATTTCTCGGACTCCCGTCTGGGACCTGACGTCTTGGGAGTGATGCAATAGTAATACTGACACAGTCTTTTCCCCAAGTAAGATGGATGTTGCCAGATATTTTGTGGCAGCCACGGTGGGGTTTTGACAGCAGAATCTTGGCTTGCCTTTCTCGATGCTGTGGTCCCGGACAGGCGGAAGGCAGAACAGTATGATGGTTGTGCTGGGTGCTCTAGACTACAGCTGGTCTCAGGTCCTGCCAACAATGGATGCTGCGTGAACGGCGAAGGGCTGTCAAAAGTATGGCACAGAGACCCAAGAGCCGCAGCAGTGCAAAACACAAAGGCTGCAGCTTTGCAGGAACCTTTGCTTGGGAGGAGCTAAAGCCGTTATCTGGACCAGGGCTGACTCTCCGGGACTAGAAAGGATCGCGATTCCAAGCGTTCTGCTTCAACGGAGCAAAAGCTTTCAAGAAGTCGTCTTTCAATGAAGTGTGTGAATCACAGATCAAGTTCCTCCGAAGTTTATGACGACACGTTACTCTTCCGACGCTTTTTCTCCGACTGCGACACGTTGCCAGGCATTTGCATGCTCAATCTTCGGTACACATTCGAAGGAGGTTTCTCGACGTGTCGTATTGTAATGTGTTTTTCCCGCTAGCTCGCAACGGCAAGCCGCATTCGGGTCTGAGTTCTCTTGAATTGATGCCGCTCCGCGCATTCGGTGGGTTTCTAGAATTGATTCCGCATTTGGACTTTGTGTATACATACAGCAGTGTAGGCGGTGTACCCAGCAAAGTCTTCCCGGTAACCGGACCAGAAGTTCACTTCGGCCCGTCGGTTATCCGAATACATATATCCGTAGCTCTTTCATGTGGAATGTCCGGCCCAAACTGACTCGGACTTCCTGGCCGCTGCGGATCTCGAGCCATCTGAGAGAAATATAGACTTGCAGTCCGGACCGTTTAGCTTTGATGCATTCCGATCGTAACGGACCAGTGCTAGCGGAAGAACCTTTCCGTAACGAAGCAGAGCGAACAACAACCGTTCAATCATCCTGAAACTTAAAGTTTAAAAGGTTTACAAGAGCCCCGATTCCTACATCGTCCTGCATGCTGCATACTTGTAGCCGCCGGGAGCTTCGTGGCATCTTTTTTTGGAAGCTGCAAGTGGGGAGAGCATACCTAGCAACACGCTCTGATAGCTATTGCTGCCAAATTCCGCCCACAACCCACCCGAGCCGCGTGAGCAACTCCGACCACTCAACACCGGTGGGGAGGAGCGCCCAAGGCACCCATCGGCGATCTGGTTGGGTTTTGACCGTCATGCTCCAAAAGGTGGGTTCGCTCGCGATACCTGTGGAAGCGAAGGGGACTCAGCCCAGTTGCATGCCCTACCTCGACTACATGCCCACGACCTCGTCTTGTCTGAGAATTTGCTAAAGAGCCATTCCACAGAGGCTCGCAAGTCGGGGTTGCGATACATCTTGCGCTGAACTGTGAAAAACCTCACGCTCTTGATTCTGCGATCCCTCACTAGCCGGGCTTCGATGCGCGAGCACCGGCGATCTGATACTTGTAGCCGGTAGCCTATAGGAATCTTCGAAGCAACGGCCTTGGCTTCCTTGCTGCTCTTTATACTCACGTGCAGGCTTTGGCCGTTGCTCACCTGTCACGAAAGCTAGCTGGTTTAGAGCTTGCGGAGCGGCAGGGATCTAGGGGTCAGCAGTGGCGCAGACCCTCAACACAGACACAGCATACATCTGCGCAACTTAAGACAGCAGAATTGCTCAAGACTGTTTCACGTTCACCACACTCTTCTTTTCCGACTCGTTGCTGACAAGCACAAGCATCAACGAGTTTGCAGGAGGGTGACCGTGACACTTTTCTTTTTTCTGTTGGAGGGGGCTCGGCAGAAAGCGAGAACCACCAAAGAAGGACAGGAAGTAGGAGAGAAGGAAACAAAGAAAGAGCCACAGAAACCCAGAGATGAATCGGACAAGAGAGAGAGAGAGAGAGAGAGAGAGAGAGAGAGAGAGAGAGAGAGAGAGATAGAGAGAGAGAGAGAGAGAGAGAGAGAGAGAGGTAGCCATTTTGGCTCAAGCCGCGAGTGGTTCAAGGCCGAGCCACGAGACAGAAGAGGGCCTCGAAACCTGGGAGAGCGAGAGGGGCCTCGAGGGACAGTGCTTTCTGTCAGAGTGGCCATCGAGCTCACCGTCGGGGACGAAATACTACGCGTGTACCCCGTGAACGCTTGCCGGGGCGAGACCGGGGTGTTTGCTCCTGTTCGGTGGCTTTGCGCTGCCCCTCGGGGAGATTGTCAAACCTCCTCGCCTACGTGCTCGGCGAACCTACAGGACCGGGGGCACTACTACACGATTCTCCGGGGGGACGTCGGGAGACCAAGTATCTCTTCGGTGTGATCGTGACACTACCAGCGGGACACCAAGAATGGCAACTTCACCTATGCAGACCGATGGCCCATCGGCGGGCCAAGAGGGGGGCCGCCGCGACGAGGCCCGCGAGAGCTCTCCCAGCAAGAAGCAAAAAGCTGAGGACGCTGGGGGGCTGACCCTTGAGATGATCCGAGAAGCCATGAGGGCAGAGCTGGGGAGAGATCGAGAAGAGCTGGGACAAACCATCGCCCAAGTCAGCCAAAGGGTTGATGGCATTGAAGCGGGGGTGACCAAGCAGATGGAAACCACGAACAAACTCCTGCAGATTGTCACGACAAACCATGATAAACAGACCGACGCGGTCAGCCAGCTCAAGAGCGAGCAAGAGAGGCAGGCCATGTTCTTGAAGGAATTCCGAGGAGGGCAAGAAGAACTTGAGCAGCGCTTGGCCCTCCTCGAGAACAAGTTCAAAGGGTCGTCCCTCAACGGGGGGAGTACGGCCGACACTGAAGCTCCCAAGCGACCAGCTCTGATCATGGGGGGATGGCCGGATGACCAGGCCTCTTCCGATACACTGCAGAAGGCGAAGGACATACTCAGGCAACTGGAAGTGCCACTCGACTACAGCGAGATCTTCGTCCCAGGCCTCAAGCGGGGGTATGCTATCATACCTATCCCGCAGAAATGGGGGGAAACAGAAGACCAGCGCCGCGAAACAGTTCAGCAAACCCTACAAAAGGTGCGCCATGCCAACGTCATGCTGGGGGTTAACCCCGCGGGGGGACATCGCAAGCTTTGGATGTCCTTATCGCAGTCTCCCGAGCGACGTCGAAAGTCCCGCCTTGCGGGCAAAGTGAAACGAGCAATGCTGGAGATGGGTGCTCAGTTGGCCAAACTCGAAGTCGAGTTCTCCACAGGGTCTGTTTGGTACAACTCGGAGAGACTTAGCAGTGCCACCTTGGAAACACCCCAGCAAGCTGAAAGAGCAGGCGCTGGGTGGGTCCGCTTAGACATGATGGCCAAGACCTTGGGGAAGCCCCTGGGGGAAGTGCAAGCGGCCTGGCAGCCCCGCAGAGAGGAGCTGCGCTGAGACACCGTCGCCAAAGCCGAGCAAAAGTTTCACCTCCGAGCACGGGGGTTCCCCCAAGGGGAAAGCCCGAGTGCAACACTTGGCATAGTGAGCTGGAATCTGGGGGGGCTCTCCGGGGATAAGATCCTGGAGCTCACTCAGAACTTTGCCGAGGACAGCGTGCTCAGCAGAATTCACATTTTCTTGTTTCAGGAAGTAATCACCGATGTGGGGCTTTTCTTCGACTCACGTTACAAATGGACACTGATCTATGGCAAGAGAGAGGGAGCCTGGAGAGGAGAGGGGATACTGTACCACTCGTCACTAGGCCTACACCACAACAGCAAGACACACACGCACGCAGTCAGCACTACCATACGGAACCACCGCAGCCAGACCAGGATGAAGCTTATCGCAGCCCACCTCCCACATCATGCAACCACAGAGCAGACCGCAGCACTAGCAGCCGAGTGGGGGGAGCATATGCCGCGCAACAAGGTGTGGATGGGCATTGATGCCAACGAGACCTTCACCACCACTCCGGGAGGAGCACCACAAGCACATTCGAGCCGGGGCGAGGAGCTCCTACACGCCCTGTCCACCTGGAAGCTGGGGATGCCGCCCCAAAGTATAGCCACACCCACTTTCCACCCCTACAACACAGCCATGCAGTCCCGCAGACTAGACTACCTCTGGCAGAAAGGCTACCGAGCTGAGGAAGGAGGAGTCCATGTGTGCAGGCACCAAGCATCCTCAGACCATGACGCCGTCTGGGCCATCGTAGCCTTTGCTCCCGAGCCCCAACATCAACGCACACAATGGGGACCCCGCAGGCTTGCAGGGGACTTCCAGTCCACCCTTGACCGCAACCCCCCCACCACCTGCGGGGATCCACTCCACGACTTGCGCTTGCTCGCGCAGGCTCTCACAGTGCCAGGGGGGGGAGCCGACCGGTTCCACGAGAGCCCACAACTGCGAGCACAACGACGAGCAGCCCACAAGCTGCCCCAAGGGGGAGCCGCAGCCCGCGCAGCATGGAAAAGCATCAGCCGAGCACGCAAGCAAGAGCAGCGAGCCTGGCAGTCGAGCACCATCCACAAAGCAAGCCAAATGGACTGGAGAGCAAAACGATCCTTGGACCAGCTGGGGGGGCGCTCGGGGTGGGAACACCATCTCCTCGACGACATCCACTGGCAACACAAGCTTATCACCCACTTTCGCAGCATCTTCCACAAAGTACCTCAGCACACCACAGCCCACCACCTTGCAGCCATTCGCACAGCCCTCACCATTGCCTGCAAACACCACACGTGGAGGCCCTTCGGCGAAGAAGAGCTGCTCGAGGCGACAGCCACCTGGCACCGAGGCAAATCCACAGGACCTGACGGCATCTCACTGGAGGCGCTCAAGGTGCTGCTCCAAGACCCCGAGTGGAGCACACGCCTGACGTACCTCTTCAACGACTTCCTCTATCGGGGGGCCCTCCCCCCCCAGGCCCTTGAGGGGGTTACAGTGCTGCTTCCGAAAACGTTGGGGGCACCCACTACATGGGGAGACACGCGGCCCATAACATTGTCTTCGGCTGTCCTCAAGTGGTTTGCCCAGCTCCTTCTCGGACGAGGGGGGCACCAACTCCAAGAGGGGGACACTTACCAGTGGGCCAGACGAGGCAGACAAGGCACAGAGCTCCTGGTCGTACTACGAAGGGTTATGCGCATGGCTCGGGACTGGAAAGTCCCCACCTGGATTGTGAAACTAGACATCCGCAAGGCGTTTGACTCTATATGGCAAGAATCCATGGGGATGCTCGTCGCTCAACGCGTCGGCAGGCTCATGCAGAATGGGGGAGTAGCCCTGGGAAGCCAGAGCATGGCTCAGCCTTCTCGAGGCCCGAGAACTCCGAGTTGCGATCAACGATATCCTCACCACCATCCCCCAAAGTAATGGGGTGCGCCAGGGGTCACCAGACAGTCCCGTGCTTTTCGCAGCGATCATCGCCACAGCCCTCGACGACGTCCTCGGCCGTACCTCGTCGCACCTTCCCCCCAAGGGGGGGCCAAACCCCCCCCAAGCTGGGGGGGCCTTTATGGACGATACCTACCTCTGGTCCCACGATCGAGACCATTTACAGCGAACACTTGCAGAGTTAGAGGTTCGGTTGGCCAAAGATGGCTTGGCAATCCACCCAGGCAAGACGGCCATTATCTACAGCGAACCAGAAGGTGCGGGGGACTTCCAGATCGGGGGGGAGCGCGTCGACTGCCTACCGTTCGGCACCGAGATCACGGCGCTCGGATCCCCACTCACCTTCCTGGAGCCGGTTGCAGCCATCACCACAGCTATGAACCACAGAGCCCGCAAGGCCTTCGGCAAGCACAGCAAACTACTCTGTGCAAGGACTCCGATCAAGGCGCGCATCAAGATGCACACCACCCTGGTGCGCAATGCGGCACTATGGGCCAGCCAATCATGGCCGATCGTGGAAACGCTCCACAAAGCAGTCAACAGCACCCAGCTGCGCCACATCCGCACCATGATGGGGGATCACAGGCAGCCAGGGGAGACGTGGGTTGAGTGGAACACCCGCAGCCTCAGACGAGCACGAGTACAACTACACCAGTCGGGGGAGCCACGCTGGAGCACCTTTTTGCTAGCACAGACATGGGGGCTCTATGGGCACATGGCTCGCTCCACTCAGGGGGGGGCCGAGATGCTGCAATGGAAGAACCTCAAATGGTGGCGGCAGCAGCAGCACATCCCCCCCTCTTGGGGGGGTATCAGGCATGGTCACCGCTTCAACTCAGATGCTGACCCCGAAAGGCAAATTGTGGCCATCGGGGGACTGGATTGGATGCAAGTGGCACAAAACCGGCAAGCCTGGCAAGATCTCACCCAAACTTTCGTCGAGCGATTCGATGTACCCTGGGCCACAGGCAAGCAAGGGAGCATTGGCAACATAGCGCCGATCCGGGGCAGGAGCACACGCCCGGCCCCACCAGTGAAGCGAAAGCTGAGAGCAGGGGGGGGAAGCACAGCACTGCCCGCGGCCCCATGACGGGGACGCTGCTTGACTGGGCTACCACCACCACCACCACACACCACCGCGACAGCAACCTACACCAACACAAGGCACCCGACAGCACTGCTCTTCCGAGACAACACCGCACACAATCCACTACATGGCAACAGTCACACACACCTTGCGGTCAGGACAAAAACAGAAAGCCAGAGTTGCATACCTGCTGCACGTCAGACACCAGTGCGAACATGCCGGCATGCGAGACATGACTTGAGCAGTGAAGTCGCAACCGTTGCCAGCTGCTTAGACTCGAGCACCTGTCTAGCAGTCACGACTGGCCATCATGGCCCCAATTCGATGTGCTGTGGCGCTGCTTGGCCTCAGCATGGCCCTTTGGGGGGCCCACAGCTCCAAAAGACCACCGAGCCCACCGCACGGGTGCTCGGTCCGAATGGGAACTGCGCAGCCACCACGACCTGAAGTGACCACGGCGGAAGCCGCAGTGGGGCCAGACGAGCCCATGGAAGTGGAAAGCCCACCCGTCACCGAAGCCACAGTCGCAGCACCGCTGCCTCCAGGAGGAAGCCAACAGCCCCAGCAGCAGACCGAGGAAGCACAGCCACACAACTGGGAACAGACCACAGCCACGCAAGCCTCAGCAGGATCGTCAACCACATCCCACCAGCAGCCACCACAGCAGCCGGAGAGGGGGCAGCCCACCCGAGAGGCATGGACAACAGCCCAACCGTGGACACCACAACCACCACCACAACCACCACGGCCGCCGCAGCCAGCCACACAAGCAGCAGAAAGCCGGCATCCAACAACGGCTGCCACCCAACAGCCAGCACAGCTGCAACCCAGCCGTCCCGACACATCGGGGGGCACCACCTACTACACAGCAGCCCAGCGAGCAGCCGAAAGGTTTGGCTATTATGCGCCGCCATACGACCCAGATACCGACCCATGGCACCCAGCAGAAGAGGAGCCGACAACACCACAGCAACAGCAGCCGCAGCAACACCAACCACAGAACTCCACTACCATTGCCAGCCCGGCACAGACTACAGCAGCTCACCCACCACAGGCACAGCCGTGCGTTCCACTACAACCCCTGCCACACACCACTGCAGCCGACCAGATACTGGCCCTCCACTTACACTACCAAGCCATTCTACACGCAGCGGGTATTGCTCACCCGGCGGCATGGGGGGCACCCCACCAACCCCCAGGCCTGCTCCACCCAACCCTCCCATTGGCAGCCCATACCAACCAACGTGGCTACACCCTGCAACCACAAGCCCAACCTCCACAAGCCACGTCACCCCATCCGAGCAGCGCGGAGTGCACCACTACCCAACACCAACAGCCCCCACCACCAAGGCCACCACGACCAAGCAGGGCACCAGAGCTCCAGCTACAGCAGCACATGGATCAAACGCGGGGGAGCCACCCACCGCCTGACAGTTCAGACACAGAGACCTCAGCCTCAGCAGCCACAGCAGGCGGCGCCACACACACCACTAACACAGACCCATGGACAAGCATCAGCTCCCCGAGGCTCAGCCAGTGCAGCGATGAGGCAGAAGGGGAAGAGAGTGCACAACCGCCCCCGCCAGCCGTCTCGCAACCTAACCCGCCCGACACGGCAACAACAGAGCCAGCGACACCACCGCTGCAGACAAGAACGCATGAGCTCCCCAGCTCCAGCATGAGCAAGCCACGCTGGCAGAAGGCGCGCCACCTGGCGACAGGCACCACGGCAGCAGCACCACAGCAACCACTCGGGCACCACCAACCCGCAGCCGCAGCACAACCGACGCAGGATCCAACACTGCGACAACCAACCACGACAGCAGAACAGCCGGCGGGGGCAGCAGCTCCTCCACACCAGAGCTCACCACAGCAGGGTCCTACCGAGCATACCCAACCACCACAGAACCCAACGCCACAGCTAAGGCCGGATCCGTTTGCACAACCAACGACCGCAGCAGCAGCCCCACAGGGGGAGACGACACAGCAACCGCACGAAGCAACGGCTACGGCAGCAGCACAGCCAGAGGGTGAAGACACAGAGACCGCAGCCGCAGACGAGTGGGGGAGCCCGCAGCACGAGGGGGGCAGAAGCCAACAGCACCAGAGAAAGCACGAAGGGGGCGGCGAACACAGAATGAGGGGGAAAAGATTCAAGGCGGCTGTGCAAACCATTTTTGAGATTAAAGGCATGAGCAAACCCCACAGCAAAACCTGGAAGCAAGTTGCGTGGTGGGTTCAGCTCACAGAAGACTCGGATGAATCCGAGTGGGAACTGGCCATACAGCAAGCCAGACAACAGGCCGACCAGCACGCGGCCCAAGGGGGGACAGCCACTCGAACAGGGGCGAACCCAGCACAGCAGCTCAACAAACACCTGGAACCCCGCACAACCGGGGGAGCCAGCAGCTCCACAGCTATGCCACCAACAGGGGGGCAGCCAACACCACCACACTCACAGCAGCCGCAAGCACCGCAACCCGCACAGCACCAGTCGGAAGCCACTCCCAAGGGGAGCAAGCAACACACCAGCAGCCAACCACCACAAGACCCTCGTAGAAGGAGGAATGGCGGGGGAACCACCACCACCGCAGCAGTCGGCGACGCCAAGCGTGTTGAAGGCGAGTTCAACCTGTGGCTGCTTAGCCTGGGAAAAGGGCAGGTCCCCAGGACAATGCCGCCAGAGCTGCCTATCGCCCCGAACGCGTACCTACATATGCGGGCACTAAGCAATGGAGGCGCCTGGGCGGCCGTCATCTATGAGCGCCGCGACGGTGGAGGCCCAGCCTACTTCAGTGGCCAGGACCGGCCCTATGCCATAGCACGCCAAGAACGTCGAGAAGGCGGGACCGGCCATAGCGGGCACCTAGCCACTGGTACAGCCCTACTGCTCCTTCCGCTGGGGGCGCCGGCTGGGGGGCCCCCGCCCGCTGGATGCTCTTCGTTACAGCAGTGGAGAGGAGCCACGACCCTGCAGCCACACACCTTCGAGTGGGGGACGCCTACATCCTCTCCATGCCGAGGGGAACCCGACGCTGGACACATAAATATGTTGTCCCACAAGTCGCCTTGCAGTTCTACACGGACTGGCAGCGAGAATGGACGGTGGGAAGAGGCCCAACGTACTTGCCAACCGGGGGGAACCAACCTATTAGCCGGTGGCACGAGCTTGGGGAACGCCTCATGCCGCAACGCCAAAGACCCCGAGCTCCAAACCCAGATCCAGATGGGGGGCAAGAGGCCGACGAAGAGCACCAACAGGAGGACGAGACGACCTTCATGCAAACGCGTCTGGGGGGCTCGGCCAGCAGCTCCGACATGCCCCCCGCTGCAATTCCTCCGGGATGCTTAGCAGTAGCCATGGTCCGGCGATGCCTGCGCCGCCTCACCGCGGCCCTTTCCACCACACCGGCCATGGAACTACAGCAGTCGGTGGAAAACCTTCTCATGATCCTGGACCCGCAGAGCCTTGGCGGCACTGGCAGCTCAATATGGGGGGAGACCAAGAGGCGCAGACTGTCCAATGAGTTTGCGGAAGTGGAGGGGCAACTACGTCGCCTCGCACGTCGCCTCCCGAGCACACTATCTGACGACGACATAGCAGAGGACTTTTCAGTGGGGATTGCCACCCTCACCCAAGGGCTCGAGAACTTGGAGAGAGCCACGTCCGACCAAGGGGGGCTACAGATCACTGAGGCCATCGAGGGGGCTCGCACAGCCATAAAAGCCATGGCTGCCGCCCGAGACCGAGCCCTACGAGGAGATCGTGATTGGCTAACTGAAGGCTGGCTCCTTACAGTGGCCAGTCTCTTGCAAGAGGCAGCGGGGTTAGCCACAGAACTCCTCTACGTTCCGCCAGCAGTACACCCTAGCAACGTCATGGCGCTTGACGAGGGGGGAGAAGAGATGCTGGGGGATGTCCCCCCGCTGCAACGAGTGAAGCACTGCCTTCGCGAGTTGGGGGGGCTCCTACCCTTCCTCACGGCCAACGAGGGGGAGCCTACCAGACATCTCCTTGCCCAACTGCTACAATGGGTACAGGAGCAGGAGAAAAGTACCCTGCTCGTGGACAGCCAGGGCAACCTGGAGACACAAGAGGCCCTTCCAGGACCGAGTTTGTTCGGGGGCCCGCTACAGCCCACGGACCAGCCAGAACTCGGGGGCGACGACGATGTGGAGCAGGCGGCACAGACGCTTGAGCAGAGAGACACCCTGGACTACGGGTACAGTGCAGAGAGCCAGCCGGCAACTGGGGGCGACAGACCTGGAGACACGACTTGGGAGGGGGTATCCCCCCCCGTGGGGGACGACAGCCAAGCCCAAGTCGCTACAGTGGGCATTCTGGAGCCTCCGGAATGCCATGACGGAGGTAGAAGTGCCCTCGTCCGCAGAGCACAACGGTACCCAAGAAGAAGAACCTCCACAAGACAGCGGACCCACTGCTACTGAACTAGCTGAGTCTCACTTTCTGCAGGAACAAGTTGAGGCAGAACTTGCCGATTTAGGACGTAGTTCCCGTAGGAGGCTTGCGTTGAGCCCCCCCGGCAGTCGCCGCAGAGCCCCAGCGAGCTATCGTACAGATGACTCTGACTGACCGGCAACAGGGGGGGAGCAGTGACCAACAACAACAACTAACCCCTGAACCAGTGTACCATGTCGATCGTTGTCACTAGTGCAGAACAGTACCAAGTGTTGTTGTCGCAGCGGCCTCAGTGTACAGATTTTGCAATTGTGTGAAGCATGTCAGTCCAGTCGCACACCAGCCACTAACTACACAGGATGTTTGCAGTCAGTTGTGCTGAGTTGTGATTGCTTGTTTACCACCCGGGTGTGGTCTTAACCGCCTGGTGGGCTGGATGCGGCCTCCAACACGGAGGACTTAGCGTGCTCCTCAGATCGAGAGGGGGAACCGGTCACTGGCAGTAGGGGGGTATCAGGCTTAGCCTTCGAGGCGGGTTGGGGGTTAGGTTAGTGGTTGTGGGGGGACAGCCAGTGAGTCGGCCCGTGGAGAATCTCGGTCGTTGTCTCTGTCCAGTACCCCTCCCAGTGCGCGGAAACGCGCGAGGGGGGCACGACCTGGATCGTGCGCCTCTCTGCCTGTGCTGAAGAAGAGATAGAGAGAGAGAGAGAGAGTCGAGCGAACGCCGAGACAGCTCGTGGGCCAGCAGACAAGTTTCACACAGAACACAGACCAAAGGCGTAGCGCTCGCGCGCAGGGGTTGTGGGGTCTGTCCCCATGCCCCAAACGCCCTGCAAGCAAGCAAGCAAGAGTCGAGCGAACCGATCCCTAAGCCCGGCAGAAAGAAAGAAAAGAGGGAGAGAGAGAGAGAGAAACAGAGAGGGAGGAGAGAGAGGAGAGAGAGAGAGAGAGAGAGAGAGAGAGCGAGAGAGAGTAGCGTACAGGGGACGGGGCTTGCCGCTTGGAAACATAGAGCAAACCAAGTAGTTCCGTGCCACAGTCAGTGGGACCGCTATGCCAACCACTCAATAAAAGCATTGTGTGGTTGCGGGCCGATGGCCTGAGGGTCACAACATGTCCCCTAAGCCCGGCAGAAAGAAATAAAGAAAGAAATATTGAACGGAGTAATCACGACGGAACGACAGAATTACTAAAACGTGAAAGAAAGACAGACACCCGAGGGTCAACTCACGGTTCGGAGTCGTTGTTGGTTTCTTGCATTGACGAGCGAGCTATGCCATTCGTCGTTCTGCGCAGGCTTAGCATTATGATTTAGTTCGCAACACATCATCAGAAGCATTGCATCATTTACATTCGCTTGCCGACATCTGCCTAACTGTTGCAATACACAGCTGACTTCCCTCCCCTGACTTTCCTCCACTCGCCTGTCAAGTTTCGATCTTGCACTCCTGCACTGAGTAGAGCCAGCTGCCGCGTGAGCTTTCGATTATCTATTCAGGTTGGACTGCCTCTCGTGCAGATGCTTTGCATGGTGATTCTGCAGCTTTGAGCACAAGCCGTAGAATCTGCTGCCTCGCTGTCCATGTCTCGTGTGCTGCTCGGCCTTCTGTTGACTACTTTTGCCTTGCAAGGTGCATGTCAGGACGCGACATGCAACCTGCAGAAGAAGTTCCACGGTCCCGGCGACTCTCTTCGTCCAGAGATGCCGGAGACTGCGAGAGGGTCAGCCCCCAAGCAAGGTGCCTGGACTACACCGGGCTTGCATTTTGAGCAGTGCACCCGCAAGCCCAAGACACCTACTCAGCTGCTTCAGCGTGCCAAACATGCCCACATCCGGCAGGAGGAGGCGTTGTTTGATCGGGTAATCTGTCCGTCGGGCCAGATGCCGATTGGAAACTATGGTGGCGACGTGTATAACTTCACCTGTTGCGATGCCGGTCAGCAGTGTGGAGGGTGCCGGAAGATCAAGAACGGCATGTGCCAAGAGTGTGCTGCTGGATATGTCCACCAGCAGATCCCGATCCTGAATATCACCAAATGTTTTTTGTGTGATGATATCTCGGGATGGCAGGACTCCCGTGGCCTCACTTGCCACGACTACGAGCTGAAAGGTTCTTGTATTTACGGCATCATCGAGGCGGGCGAAGATAAACCGTTTCACGGCGTGAGACCAAGTGAGGCATGCTGTGCTTGTGGCGGAGGCAGTTTGCAGGCCACGCCAGGCTACATGAGCTTTACCAACAAGGCAGTCGTTTACGGCTATTCTGTGGATGCTTTCCCGGAGCCCCAGGCTCTGGGAACACAAGTGGAAAGCTGCAATCTGGCAAAGTGGAGTTTGAATCTCACAGGACGTGGGAGGATCCAAGGAGTTGTGGTAAATTCCAGCGAAAGCAGCTCAGACATCAAGTGCACCCTTACACTGACACAAGATCCCATACGTGGTCTTTTTACCACTGTCAGTGTTGATGTTCCAGTGGGTGAGATCTCTTACGGGGAGCAGGTATTGGTGTTCAAGTATTGGGGTTTGGATTCGGAGCCGACGATGCAGAACGTCCCCATCCAGCACACGGTGCTCGAAAAAGGCCATGCCTTGGAGAATTTCCAGCTGCATTGCAACTGTCCGTGCCTGGGCAAATCGCAGCAGACCTTTGTCTTTCAAATCGCATAGAATCATCGAACCTAACACCAGACGCCGCGTCTTCGAGCAGTGGAACTCCACACTGCCAGGTGGCTCAACATGTCGTCGAACGGTACACTGGTTCCTGGCCCACTCCCAACGCCGCTGCAGGTGGATGGGGTGTTTAGCCATTGCAGCACAAGCACGCGAAGCAGCTTCTCCGTTGAGGTTGCCTCCCTTGTATCTGAAGTCCTGGACCTTGGCAGGTGCAGGGGCCGTCGCTGAGTGGCTACGACAGCATACCGTCCTGCAGCTGCCAGGCTCTGGCTATCGGACCTACAGGGGATGTGGTTTGTTCCCTCGGCCGTGCAAGGTGACAGCAGACGAGGTCCGCTACAACGGCACCTTGAGGCAACAAGCAACATTCGCGAAGCTGGGTCGTACGGGGGTTGTCTTGCTGTGTGCCTGGATTTGCATGCCAACACGTGAATATGTGTCAGTGTTTGTGTCTCTTTCTCCCTACGCCTGTGTCAGTGTTTGCGTCTGTGCTCACTAGTCATTCTCTTTCTTTGTTTGTTGGTTTGTCTGCTTGTCTTCTTGCTTATTTCTTTGTTGTCTGCTTGTCTGTTCTGTCCGTCCGTCCGTCCTTCCGTCCTTCGGTCGGTCGGTTCGTTTCGTTCTTTTGTTTCTGTCTTCTTGTTTGGTTGTTTCTCCGCTTGTTCGTTTGTACGTGCCTTCATTCGTTCGTGTGTCTATATGCAGTATGGGCCAAGTGCCAACTCTACACCCGCCCCACCCCCGCGCCCCATAATATCCCCACCTGGCCCCCCTTTTCCCAGGGCTGTCTGCGACAACAACACACGGATCGAGCAGGTTGGGGCCACGATCCTCGTGACAGTCCTCGTTATGGGATCGACATCGCGACGTCAAACCACCAATTGTCGCTGGGATTGGGATTTGTTGGTGTCACGTTTCCCCTGACTCTCGCAAGTTTTCGACATGCGGGGCAACTTCCCATCTCGAACATGGCACAAGTAGATGGCACGATATCGTGCTTTGCATGATTGTCTTTGTTTTTGTGGGGGCAGGATGCAAAGCACAGTTCTCACCGGAACATAACCCACGCAAATCACAGGGCGGAGGGGGCGTCGGCTGTTAATACAACGATCCGCGAGTACACCAGAGCGACGGCTACACCACAGCGACAGGGGCGCCATCGGCAACGGGCAACAGGAAAAACCGCTACGCCCAGTGTAGTAGCAATCGCAACAAGGATGAAAATACAACTGCTGTCAAACTAACAGCTGTAAGCATACCTGTGTAGGTTTGCTAGCTGCTCAATAGCCAATCCAATGTAAGTACAGCAGCACAGCATACGACAAGACGGCCAAGATTGCAGCTTCTGCTTGGTGGCATGCTGGGGCACTTAGACTCAAGCTTGGAGATAGGTGCATACCTTAAAAAATGGCGAATACCAGAGGCACCACCACGGGGGTGGGGGAGACAACAAAGCCAAGAGACCAGGAGCCCAAGCAAGACCACAGACACCACACCACAGGGGGGCGGGGGGGAGTTGCCCGAACCTGGGTCTTTTCCGTCCCTTGTCAGAATTCTGGGCTCTGGATATTTGGCCCAGGGTTGTGGATCTAACATGCGGCGCCTAAGCAAACCCTTTTAAGCAAACCCTTTTGCACAGGAGGGGATGTTCACTCTCTTTGTGTTTTTGTGGCGAAGCTTGCGTGATGCGTGGGCCGTGCACGAATCAACTCTCCTCGCGAATCCGCCCTTTCCGTGTGCGAATCCAGTACACGAATCCTCTTGTGTGCGAATCGGTTTTTCCAAACCGGTTTCCATTACAGGGGATAGCAGATTTTGGAGGAAGGTGGTCTTGGCAGCACGAATCTGAATCCCCGAAGAGCTTACCAGTTGTTCATGACCCTCTTTCTTCGAAGGGAGGAAGTGGAGGACGGCCAGAAGTCCACCAGCTTCACCGTCCTGCAGGCCTTTTGGAATTGCAAAGAAGCATAAAGGAGGCACTTGCAAGGCCTGCCTGCTGAGCATTGTTAAAGCCCTCGATGTGTTCTTTTTGTAGGCATCTCAGCTTTTGGAGCATGTGCTGAGGTCTCAGGGCTTTTCAAGGGCGCTGAAACTCGAGTTGAAACTCGTGCACTGAGATATCAAGGCATAAGCGCGGGTTTGGGCAGGCCTGGGCTCGGAGTCCGAATCCCAATGCTCCAGGATGTTTTGTTGTAGACTGGTCATTGCAGAACAAGGAGAACTAGAGGCCAAGTCGATCGAAGACGGCGCCAGGCTACACGCTATGAATGCTCCAACCCCCCAAACCAACAGGCATTTGTAACATCCTACAAGGTCGTGCTTCATTGTCCTTGAGACGGCCAAAGTAGGAGTTTGTGGCTAGAGTGGTGGAGAGACCGGGAGACCTTGTGCCTGTCGAAACAAGCAGGCTCAGAGGTGACGAGGTGCAGAGTACTTAGTACTGTTCGCCTCAGACTTTGCAAAGTCTAACCCGCTGCGCAGGGACGTCTCTGGAAGGCAGGTGCTTACAAGGCCATGTTGGTGTTTCGTGGTTCAGAGCTGAGCTTCACTTTGGATGGAGCTTCGACGTGGGCATTTTGGAAAACTTCAGGGAGTGAATGCAGCGTTGGAAGTCATGATTCTCAATCTCACAAAGAAGCACTGGTAGACTTCGCTATCCGACGTCCCTGAACCTGAACATATGATTAAGCTCCGAGTGCCAACGTTGTCTGCGACATTGCTTGCTAAATCTTGCTTCTGCCGCTGTTCCTGACACAAGATTCCGGTGCTTCACGGCCGAGTTGGGACGGCTTTGCTCAACTCGCAATTGCAGGCTGGCCCACCAGCTGTTCAGCATCCACTGGGTTTAAGTTTAGAGCATGTCAATGTTGTCCGCATGGGAGCTTTGAGCTTTGGTCTGACTGGTGCTGTTTGTCACCTGCTACTGATCAGTACCAGTTTGCGCATATTACCAGCATCAGCCTCATACTGTAGCTTAGAATGGAGCGTAGTTGCCCAAATTCTCAGCAGCTTGTCCGATTGTCAGATTGTGCTTCCAGGAGCATGTCTCGGGCATGCACTGGTCTGAGGAGCGTTTGCTGCAACTTCTCCATGAACTGTCGGCACGTGATTTTGAGAGGTCGCAAAAACAGTTTCGGTTGCAGGGAGGGGGCGGCCGTGTCAGCGTGACGGGCAGAGCTGAAGCAACAGAAACACAGCAGTCCTCTCGCTTTGATGCGAGTGCCAGAAGCCCGCGTTTCGAGGAGCACGAGGACCTGAAACTTCCCGTACTACAGAACATCTCCTCGGGTGAGCTTTTCGTGGTTTCGCCTGCCCTGGTCCCCGAGGCCTTGGAGCTTGGCGCCAGAACACTAGAATCAGCCAGTTTTCAAATCGCAGCTTGCTATCTCCACGCGATCGAAGCCCCAAGCTTCGTTACATTACCGCTTCCCGTGCAGGTTCTCGATGTGCAGTGCTCCGATGACAGCAATGCCACCTATACCTGGTCCCGGATCACTGGCGACATCATGCGCAGGGGCGAGGCAGGATCCGTTTTGCGTTCGTCTGTGTTTGATCCGTGACAATGCTTTTTGTTTTCAGGGCTGAACAACGGTTGTGCTTGCGGTACATTTCGTGTTGCTTTCAGCCCTTTGCAACATATGTGGTTCGGACCGCTCTGTCTAAATAACAGGAGAGAGCGACGTGATCTTTCATTCCCAAGGTTACGAAGCTAATTGTGGCGAGGGAAGGTCTGCTTTCTGGGCAACTTACAACCGAACCGCATCTGCCAGGTGGCTTTCAGCTTGGACCCTTCAGCGGGAACTGTCTCCGGCACCCCCGATTTGGACTGGGGCCGAAGGATCTTTCCGTCGGGGTCTTCTTGCCTCCTCCAGCACTCGGTTTGAGGTGTGTTGTCTTTCGGTTTTGGTGCTCTGATGCCTGTTAAGCTAGAGCACCTCCATGCATCGCTGGACAATGTAACGGTAGCACGTTGCCGCAAAACCTTCCAGGTACACCGAGGTTGGACCTCTCTGCTGAAGGCCGTGGGTCGCTACAGGCGGAGCTTGGTGACAGTTCAAGATTCAGAGACTTCACAAGGCTTCTAAACGGTCCAAGGGCGAGCTGGAGGAGTTAATGGGGAGAGCACGTCCATCAGCCGCGAACTGCTTTGCAACTCCGAGTCGGCCTGTGGAGCAAGGGTTCGAGCGCAAAACTGATTCCCTTCATAGGGGATTTTATGGCTTCGGGACTTGATTTGCTAGATGAGTAGACTCGAGGCTGGCCTCCAACAGCTTCAATCACAAGACCACAGACCACTCATGGGGGAGTTGCCCTTGTCAGACAAAGCTTGGTGTTTCTATGTCGCTGAGACATGGGGGGTGAAAGGTGAAATCAAGGGAACAGAGCCTGGAGCATAGCGGAACGCGACCGATAGCGGAGCACGCAATCCGGATTCCAAATCAGAGGTCAACCAGAGTCATGCGGGTACGAAAAGACCAAGACGGCATCAAACTCCAGCTTGGTCCGCAAGTTCATTTTCTACAGCCTGAAGCTTGTATACTTCACTTCTTGCAAGATCAACTGCAGCGTGGCGCTGGGAGGCCAGCTGTACGACAAGGTGGGTTTTCAGCCGTGGGTTCAAGTCAAAGCAGTTAAAGAGCTCGGCTCTACAACATTTTCCGATCATGCATGCAGCCGGAGATTGTGGTGGTGTAGCGGGGATGTGCGGCAGTAGCGATCAGAGTGTTCAGTCGTTGAAGTCGCAGAAAGGCGCAGGAATGTCATCAAAAAGGTTTCCTGAGTTTTGAAGATGGTGAGGTTTCTTGAAGTGCGGACGGATTTGTGTCTGCTGCCATGCTCTGCAAGGTCTTGCCGGTTGCAAAGCTCACTGTGGACCTGGTGGACGACACGTGCTGGGTACCCACCAACATTTCAGGAGCCGAGCTTTGGGGCCGTGAGCCGGAAGACTCTTGGGCCCTGCAGGATGGTTCGGCTGGAAGCCGATGAACTCAAGCAAGTCCTGTTGGGCCCTGAGAGCACCTGCTTGTGAATGACGCATGCCTTCGGCCTTTTAAGGTTCTTGTGGCTCGTGCTGGTGGTAAGGTACATGTCCAGAGAACTTACTCATGGACCCTTTGTGAGAACATAAGCTTATGATGATAAACCTCAGATGGGGTTGACATCATTTTGGGAGTCTTTCTCGTATAGGAATAGGTTTGAAGCGTCGGCACGACTTTCATAGCCGGTGCGGGAGTTTGAACTATGGCGCCAACAGCAGAACTGTCAACAAAAGCGATCGAAGACGTGTTTCGGACCCCGTGAACGACTTGCAACACCTACGACGACAAGTAGATGCAGAGCTTTGCAGGCATGCGGCTTTGCCGCCAGAGTGCCGACTGTGCTGCGGTGCAAGTCAAGGAGGAAAGGGAATACTACTACTGCTATACTACTATTACCACTACTACTACTACTACTACTACTACTACTACTACTACTACTACTACTACTACTACTACTACTCCTCCGCCTCCTGCCTCTGCTGCATCAGCTGCTGCTCCTACTACTGCTGCTACTGCTGATACTACTACTGCTGATCTACTACTACTACTACTACTACTACTACTACTACTACTACTACTACTACTACTACTACTGCTCCACGGCATCGACTACGACCACCACTACTACGACGACGACTACTGCTACTACTGCTGCTGCTGCTGCTACTTCTACGACGACGACGACGACTACTACTACTACTACTAATTCCACATCGTGCCGAGAATGGAAGGCCGCTGTTTGGGACCAAGATTTTGCTAGGTTTGCTAATCTTGCCCATCTTGCCATCTTGGTCATGTAGTGCAAGTGGTTCAAGCGGTTCAAGTGGTGTAAGGCAAGATGGGCAAGATTAGCAAGACTGGCTCCACCCCCGCCCCCTCACTCCACCCCCAGTGGTGCAAGTGGTCCAAGTGGTGCAAGTGCAAGTGGTCCAGGTGGTGCAAGTGATTTTGACAAGCTTGGCACCAATCTTGCACCCCCTCCAAAAGCCAAGATTGCAAGACCGACCGTACTATCTTGGTCCATCATCGGCTCTCATTTCCCAACACACTGCAATAGTAGTAGTAGTAGTAGTAGTAGTCGTCGTCGTCGTCGTAGTAGTAGTAGTAGCAAGACTACCACTACCACTACCACTACCACTACCACTATTACTACTACTACTACTACTACTACTACTACTACTACTACTACTACTACTACTACTACTACTACTACCACTATTACTACTTCTACTACGACGACGACTACTACTACTACTCCTGCTGCTGCTGCTACTACTACTACTACTACTACTACTCCTGCTGCTACTACTACTACTACTACTACTACTACTACGACTACTACTCCGATTCAGTTCTTCGTTTATCTTCGGAAGCTATGCTTGTGTTCAGAGACTACGCTTAAGCCATGTAATGCTCCAAGTTGTCCTATGGCCTCATGGCCTCATGGCCCTCGTGGTCGTGAAGGGAGCCACCATTATCCTGGATGCCCGCAGAGAGCCGTGATGTTCTTCGTGACTGCTGCGGCTCCTCTCTACCAGGATGGCACTTGCCGGGCCGTAGTCACCGGTGGAGAGAAAGAGACTTTTGCCGGCCAGGCGACTGAGGGGATGGTTGTTTGCAGTGCATTGTGGCAATCGTCATGACGATAGTCACGTGGATTTTGTTTATCTGCCTCGTTACCAGTCTCTGCAAGGGCGGCGGATGGCCATAATTTGTGTGGTTGTATGTGCTCTGCAATCACCGCGTTTACGAAACCTCTGCCCGGCCACTCTGCGGGGAGGAAGAACGGTTTTCGGGGCCGTGCGGCTCGCAGGGCTTCTCACTGGACTCACGTTTTCTATTGGTTATCCCCGGCTCCACTGGGCTGCTCACCCCGAAGCTGCAAGGGTGGAAGCAACCTGCTACATGCTTCATTCAGACGACCAGGTGGCAGGGTGTATGTTGATTTCTGCCGTTTTCTGTCGGATGCTCACTCGGATAATTTGACAACCAACTTGCAGGTGCTGACACGCTTGGAAAATTGCTCCGAGGACTGCATTTGAGAAGGCGGTGTTGCTTAGACTTAGGCTGAGGATTCGGGATGAAACGTTGCGGTTGGTTGTGGGATCAAGCGAGGCATGTTGCAAAATCTGTTATGCAAGTCGCAGCAGTGGAGGCCGTGGAGGCATGATGCCTGTCAAACACACTTGATTATTTTGCTGTTGGATTTTGTGCCATATGTATTCTGTGTGCGAAAAAGGCGGGCTCACTCTGATGGATCTCAGCACCGCAAGATACTGCCATGATGATACATGAGTCGTCTAATCTGACCCCAAGCAAGCCATGACTGCCTGTGTTCCACGATATCAAAGACGACCTAGCTGTGGCCTTGAAGCCGGAACTTTTCTAGTGGACTTTCGATGAGCAACATCGAAGAAGTTATAAGTCTGCCTGCACGACAGTTCTAGTGACATGAGCTCCCAGTTCGCTGCTCGGAGGACGACACACGCATTAATCTTACGGCAGCAGGCGCATGGCGGCTTGGGTGAACGAACACTGCGGTTCATCTGTAGTGTAGGTTGCACACGGGATTCTGTTCCGGCACTGTTCCGGCATGCTCCTGCACTCGGATACGTGCTGTCGGCAGCGGAAAGAAGTGACATGGTTGAGGTGAGCTGTGCTTTCAGTTCAGAATCATGCAGCATGCGACATCATGCGACTGCGGTTTTGCGTGTCGAAGCTTCGCCTTGGGTCACCCATTGCTGCTTTTGTCTTGTCTACTGCTTGCTCTACTCACTGACCTTATTCAGCAAGTAGTTAGATGTCGGAAATCATATTGCTACGTTCACCGCCTCTTTTGCACTTAGTTCCCGCATCCTCACCAGAATGGCCGGGCTTTGAACAAGCTACCCCCCTGTGGGTTCTCCTTATTTCAACAACTCCGACAGTCCTACGGCAGTCCTGTGGTGCAGCGATCGATCATCCTCGAACGGATGTGAGCCGTCGTGCCCGAAGTCCTTCCCTCTTCGGGATCATAGCTCGAACATTCGTATCCATGTCGGTGAAGGCCGTACTGTAGTAACACAGTGCTGGTTCGACTTGTCCATCATGTTGTTGAGCTTGGTTGAGCATTTTTTGCAACTAACTTATGGGTTGGACGTGCGCTTAACCATGCCCTGACTTGGCATTGAATACTGCAGTCATTGCAGCAGTTTTTGACTGCGATGTGGGCTTCACGAACTTATGTCGAAAGGCTTGCAGATGGTTTCAGGGATTTGCGTGTCCCAGGTATGTGCAAGGAAGCTATTACCCGGCGAATATCTTCAAAGATCAGGTGTGCCCGTGTGCCAACAGAGCTATACGTGCAGATCGCCGAAGATTTCGAGAGCTTGAACTTCAGATGCAACGCTTTGTGGAAACCGTGCTCCACCAAAGAACAACTTGCAAAGTCAAACATGCCCGAAAACGAAGGCATGCAGAGCGCGTGAGCGTCGTCCCTCCATCAGTGTCCCCGCTTCGATCGAGCCATAGGGCGCAATGAGCCACGCCAGGTGTCCTATTCGCACGCGGGAATCACGTCCCAGTTGCAGTTCCACCTTATTCAAAAAGAGTTTGCCGAGATGCAGGTGCCGAAGGCCGGATAGATCTTGATGGATGTCTGATCCCCGTCCCGACGTTAAACATTTTCGACTGACAGAACGGAGAGTCTTGAAAAGCCAGCCATATGGGTAGTGGGAAGCGGAGCGCAGAACCACAGGAGTGCATCAATCACGGTGATACGAACAGCTTGTTAGACTAGTGACTAGAAGCATACTCGGGCAAGTTATCTGGCTGGAGCTGTACAGCAGACGGAAATGAAGGTGGTGTTACTGGTACTGTACCAATTTACGGCACTGCTCGCTGCATGTACAGACACGCAGGCCGACATACCGGCATCGCTGCATACCTGCATACCTGCCTGCTACCTGCCTGCCTGCCTGCCGGCCTACATACATACCGACATACATGTGTAGGTATATGAGCATGTACATACACATCTGATGGTGCGTATATCAATGAGTGCAGGATGTCGTAAATGATCGTGCCACATCCCAACGGCTGTCTAGCAGGATGAGCACGTAACAAGAAATGCGACTGTCGGACTGCTTCAGGTCTGTGACAATGCCTCCTGGCTCCTTGTGCACATCAATTCCTCGGACTGTCGGGGTTGCAGCTTGTGAGAAAATTACAAGTGAAAGACAGTTCTGTTGCCGTTGGTCCTGCACAGTGTGCTTGAACGGGAGCTGTGTGATCCGGTTGCCTTTTTGGCCTTGATCCAGACTTGGCGCTGGCAGGAAAAGCCGAGTAGTCTTTTGAAGGAGTGTGCAGCCTGCTTTCATAGTGGCACCGGAATTTCGATCCTTACGCTGCCTGACGCGCTTCGTTGACCTTTTCTGCTTTCCTTCTGCACGGCGGCTTCGTGCCTGAGGCTTTTGGGCAGCCGGGCCCCCGACTGCGTTCGGGCCATAGAGCAGCTGAGTGCCGTGCGCTGCTGCGCCTTCTTGGGCATTCGGGCGTGGGAGACTTTGAGCTTCGCCCTCTTGTTCCTTCGAACTCAGCTTCTTTGAGGTGGCTGCCCAGCTGCTGCCGGCTTTGCGGGCCACCCCTTCGGACATTTATCTTCGAGAAGTTCTTCGCGAGCGCGGCCGTCCGGACGCTCGGCCTTGTGGGCCCAGTGCTTGTGGGTGGAACGAGCCACCCGACCTTTGGCAGCAAAATAGGCTGCCCCTCGGGACGCGAAGTTTTTGGTGGCCTCTTTCCACCCTCCTTTGTGGAAGCAGAAATGGCCGAGGAGGACAAGTCTACCTCAGCGTGGCACAAAGTACCAACTTGGGATGGCAGCCCGGCCACCTGGAGGTCTTTTCAGCGCGAAATGAATTGGTGGCTCAGTTCTCTAGACGCGGAAAACACCAAGAAATATAACTTAGCTGCACGGTGGCTTCTCCGACAGAGCGGTGTTGCGTGGAAGCGAGGGGAAGAATTCTCCCCCGACGACCTCGTCTACCAGGAGGAGGTCAAGACCAAGGACACATGCCCGGATACATAAGTTGATGAAAGCCTTGGAAGGGATAAATGGAAAGTCTGCTCTTGATCGCAAAGGGCAGCTGCAGAACCAGTTCTACCTCAACTTGCAGCGCTCTGGAGAGGGTCCCGCCGACACCTCAGTCGCTTTAGGGTGCTCACGGCTTAAATGCGGACGGAGGGCATCGACCTTCCAACAGGTGAACTTGGATGGTTCTCGCGAGAAAAGTTGGGATTGGACCCTCTTCGGAAGCAGCTTCTTGAGAGCTTTGCAGGGCCGAGAAAAGTTCGAGGTCTTTCAGGAGGGGGCGAGCCCGTGGTCCAGCAGGTCTCCGCCAGAGCGGTGGAAGTGGGAGAAGCGGCCAATTTGTGCCGCGCAGCCTGTTCATGTCGAAATTCAGGGCCAGGCAAGCTTATGCCACCGAGGCTGAATTCGAGCCGGGCGACGCACCTATGAGCCTGAAGAGGAAGAGCATGTTGCCGATGAGGCGGCTGACCCGACGGACCTGGACGAGGTGCTTGAGATGCCGAGCTGGAGCAGGCTGAGAACGAAGGAGTTGACCCCGGGATGCTTGAGCAACTAGAGGGGTGCGGGGACAATGCAGCGGAAGGCTTGATTACGAGATGCCGAGACCCGCTTCCAAGAAGTCCGTCGCGACCAGGCTTCGCGGCCCGAGGTTCAAGAAGCGCGATGTTTGCCATGATTGCGGTCTTCTCGGCCACTGTGTGGAGGGTGCGGCCTGTGGCCGGAGGAGTTTGTCCTTCGTGAAAATCCTGCTGGAAGGCATTGCAGCCTCTCTTGCACCCTTTGTGGCACTCGCGCCTGACGGGCCGCTTCAGTCCCGCGTCAACTTGCTGTCGAGCTCTATTTTCTTGTGCTTGGCTCGGTTTCATGGAACTTTGTCGCGGCACGGACCCACGGCATACCCTCAAGGGCATTGAGCTGACGGACGAGCCCGTGGTCGCCGATTTTTCCTTGAAGGGGTGCTGCTACCTGACGTCAAGCCCTGTTGCTAAAAGCATTCCGTGATGGAGCTGTCGATTTAGAGGCCGCGTCGGAGATGGAAGCAATGGAGAAACAGTTTCACCTGGACCACCGGACCCGGGATGTGACCGAGACCTTGGCGGCAGAGACGGATGTGGAAAGTGACTTTGCTGCGGGGCACGACGGCTCGGACTCTGAAGATGGTGCCGAACCCGTGTAAGGAAGTGCCCGTGTCAGCGGCAGTGAGGCACGCGGTTCGCCGTTTGCATGACAACGCGGGCACCGCAGCCCCAAAAAGATTGGTGCGAGCGCTGGTCATCGCTGGTGCCCCCTGGAAGCCGTGATCACAGCCAAGCAGCTCAGATGCAGTGTGTGTGTGTGTGTGAGTGAGTGAGTGAGTGAGTGAGTGAAGAAAAATGCCCGCCTAAGACCCAAAGGCCGGCTTCTCTCCCGGCTCCTCGAGAGCCTGGCGACCAGATCACCCTGTGCTGAAGTGCTCAACTCCTTTAAGGAGCGATGGGCGCCAGTCTTCTGTGCCCCCAGGACGATAGTATATAGTGATAGTGATGGACCAGGGCCGGGAGTTTGCCTGCCATGGGTGGAACAGTATGCCGCGGAGAACAATGTGTTCTTGCATTTTTTATCGCCGTGCAGGCTCCTTGGCAAAAAAAGGTCTACGTGAGAGAGAGTGGGTGGCGTCCTGAAAACCGTGCTGGCTGCGGCGACGGCTTCGCAGTCACTGACGGGTGAAGAGGAGATGAAGACCGGGCTGGCTGAAGCATTGCTTGCGTATAACATGGATGTTGGCGACTGTGGCTTTTCGCCGATGCAGGCGGTTGTGGGAAGGCAGCCACTGTTTGCGGGAGATGCACTTGGCAATGGTCGGCTGGGCGAGATCGGTGGCTGGAGACTTGGTCTACTTTTGAGAGAGCAACCTTACAACCGGGCCAGCCAGAACCGGAAAAAGACATGCTTTTGAAAAGGTGGCATGGGCCCGTGCTGATGGAGGCGCGAGAAGGAAACAATGCCTACGTCACGGCCCGGGGTTCTCTTACCAAGGTTGCCCTGCAGCATGTTCGGAGGGCTTCGCCAATAATAAGTTGCTTCTGGAGAATGGGAAGATGTTATCCAAGAGGTCGTGGCGGCTGCAGAGCGGGATTAAGGGTGGGAAATGATTGCCCCGCGGCCGCTCCGGTTGAGGAGAGCGATGGCCTTGGACTTCCAAGACAACCTTCAGTTCCAGAAACCCCCGAGGTCAAGGCTCGGCTGCCAATTTCGGAGAGGCTGCCTGAGGAAGCCACTGCTGGTGATGTGCCTTTAGATGGCTCTGGACTTGCGAGGCAACCTTCAGTTCCAGAAGCAAGGGGGTTCGATTTAGATGTTGGCGGTCTTTTTGCGGGATCGTCTGAGAGAGGCTATGGACCGAAGCCGTTCTGACCGTGGTCGTGATCTGCCTCCCGTTTCCCACATGAGCTCGTCACGGCGTCTACTTCGAATGTTTCGGTTCCTGGTTCGCACAGGCCTTCTACCTTGTTGGGGCCCATCGAGGAGCTACGACCGGTCAGGGTGCTCAAGCTGAGTGAACTGGACCCTGGTGGCGTGAAACACCCTGGCGAGGTCGACTCAGAATCTTTTCGTGATCAAGCTCCGGGGTCGGGGATTCCGTTTGATTCCCTAGTTCTGGACAAGCAAGATGTGCTAGCAGCTGCCGTGGCGAAGGAAGGCGAAGTGCACCCGCAAGTTCGTTTGCAGGCGCAGGCTGCGCTGACCGTTGCAATGGCGTGGAGACCGAGGCGGCGGATCATGGGACCTGGGATGGCAGATTGCCGCTTCCGAGCCGGGCTCAAGTGGCCCACGAGACGAGAAGCCAAAGCCTTTGCAGTGCAGGCGGCCAGGAAGGAGTACCGCTGAAAGTGTGGGTTGGGAATGATGCCGCGGAGGCGACCTGTTGTTCTGGGAGCAAGGTGGCCTAGGACTCCATTGAGCGCCCAGGCGAGGAGCTGGGCATGTACTGTGACAAGAAGCTCTCTCAGGATATGGCCACCGCGTCAGTCGCGTCGTTGCATCCGGGGAAGCTCAGAGCCTGAGTTCCTTGCAGCCGCTTGTGGCTCAAGTCCGGGTCGACATGGGCTTCCAGCTCTCGGTGCTCCAGAGTGAGAGCACCATCATCCATGCCAATGCCTTGGTGAAGAGTTTAAGGCGACGAGTGACTTTGCCTTGAGGTTCCGGCCTCCCGTAGTTGGAGGGCACCGGGATCGCAGTGGTCTCGGACGCCAGCCTGGACAACGTGACGAAGCAAGGTGACAAGCCGTTGGAGCGAGTTTACTGACAAAGCTGCTGCTACTGCGTGCTCCTTGCGAAGAAGAAGCTTCTTGAAGGTTCCTCTGGGAAGTTCGCTTTGCTGGACTACACGAGCCATCGGCTCCAACGCGTGTGCCACTCCACTTTTGCTGCAGAGTTGCTGAAGGTTGAAGCAGGGTTCGACGTCGGCCAGTACTGCAGAGGCCATTGGGCCGAGCTCGCCTTGAAGAACGCCGACAAGATCCTGGACCTCATTGGGCTCGTGGTGGTGACGGATGCCAAGGACACTTTGACAAAACCAACAGCGACACACCCTCGTATGGCTCTCAGAAATCCGTGGCCTTCGCAATCGCCTGGCTTCGAGGAATGGTGGCTGCGGCTAAGGCCAACGTGAGCCTGAAGTGGACAGCGATGAGCAACATGTTCGTCGACGCCGGGACCAAAGACATGCCGCCGGACCACATGCGGCAGACGCTGACGTCGGGTGAATGGAGCTACTGCTACGACGAGAAGTCTGCGAAGCAAACGGTTAAGCCCAAGAGGCCCGCGCGAGAAGGACCGGAAGTGCTGACAGGGACTGAATTCTCCGCCTGTGATCCGATGGTCGGATTCTTACAAGGGCTGTGTACTCAGCTTGGATGGCACAAGAGAAACAACATGGCCATTCAAGCGGCCTTTCGTGCCGAGAGTTTTCGTCGGCCTGAGCCGCGGTTCGATGCGAAGATGTATCCGCTGCGAACTACTCGCGCTTTGTACCACGACCAAGGCGGTCGGGGTGCTTTGAGGCTCCTTGGGAGGGAGGCTTCCTACGGACAACAGTGTGCTTGAACGTGAGCTGTGTGATCCGAT